AATGCTCAGGGGTTTCTCCTGGCTCTACACTCAGGAGTTACTCCTGGCAGTGCTTGAGGGACCATATGGGATGCCAGGGATTGAACCAGGTCAGCCATGTGCAAGGCAAACACCCTACCTGCTGTACTATCGCTCCAGCTCCTTTGTTACTCATCTTAAAGGACTGAGCTACCCAAGTTTGGAGCATAGTTCCATTCCAAAGGAAGTAAGGTGCAAGTTACTCATTGTCCTGTTTTTGACCCTTGAACTGAATGCCCAACATTTCATTAGGCACATGGATATCAGACAGATAGATAGATAAAGACACTTCCTATTGTAGCCTTTATGGTGATTAGGGTGGACATGGATTAGGCACTGAGAGATTGATATGAGTGTTAAAATTCTCCTTCATTGGTCTTTCTGGCCTTTACCTTATTTGGCTGGAATTCATAGAAGTAGATCTATCCTATCACTTCACACTGTCTGAGAAAAAAATAACATATTGTTTAAGTCATTAAATAGCAGTGAATACAGAATTCAGAAAGATGACATACATGGTCTGAAGCATTAAGAGATTTTTTTATATGGATGAGAAAAAATGAAAGAAAGGACCAGGTCATGTCACTAAACTCAGTATTATTTCCTCAAACATAAAACTTAAACATGAATGAGTAGAAATATGTTAAGAATTTTAAAATAAAACTAAATAGCATACTAACAGTATAATACAGAAATATAAAAAAAAAAGTAAAGGTAAAGGCCCTCCCATTGATCATTGATTTGCTCGAGCGGCCCCAGTAACGTCTCCATTGGAGACTTTGTTGTTACTGTGTTTGGCATATCGAATACGTCACGGGGAGCTTGCCAGGTTCTGTCGTGCGGGCGAGATACTCTCGGTAGCTTGACGGGCTCTCTGAGAGGGGCGGAGGAATCGAACTCGGGTCGGCCATGTTGGCTGCATGCAAAGCAAACACCCTACCACTGTGCTATCGCTCCAGCCCTATACAGAAATATATAAGCATAAAATCACTTCCCCACAAAGCTCAGAGAATAAACCTCTTCATGTTACTCCTAGTCCATGTAACAGGAACAAGAAAGGTACCAGTCCCTCACCCCCACCCCAAGTATGCTTGTCAATACATTTAATGAGAATCTGGTTAAATACCTTTGTAGGAAATTGAGTAAAAGTCAAAATGATTCAACAGTGAATTTAGGAACTGAAGAGATAGTAAAAGAGTTAAAGCATTTGTCCTTGCAGGCAGCCAACTCAGGCCAATCTCTGGGACCACATCTGGTACCCCGAGCAGAGAGCCAAGAATAAGCACTGAGCATCATTGGGTGTGGCCCCCTCACCCTCAATAAAACAAAATAACGAGGGATTTTATGAACACAGTATACCAAGTTTCTGTAAATTGCTAAAAAATTCAGTGACAACACTGCACAATCAAGCAGGCTGTGTTGGACATATCTGTGGTCTCCTAAATCCTGTTTTCTCTCAAAGATTGATACTAAAAACATTTCAAGCGCTAGGAAAAAGCGATTTAAATAAAATTTCCTCTCAAAAAAAGTAAGCAATGATTCAAGAGGGGAAAAAATCTTATAAAGCAGAGTACTTTATGATCTCATTTATCCTATGATCTCATTTATGTACAACTTTAGAAACTACACAGCAATTTATATTGTTACGAGGCATATCAGAGTCGGGGACCAGGAGAGAAGGAAGGGCAGGGAAGTATAAGGGCAGAAATTGCTGAGGGGGTCATGATCTTATTTGTCCTTCACAGGTCCACGTATCTAAACCCAATAAACTGCACATTTAAAAAAAAATGAGTGGTTATGTAAAATTATACCCCAATTAAAAAACGAGGAGTCAGAGGATAGAGCAATAGTACAGCAGAAAAGGAATTGCCTTGTACATGACAGACCTGGGTTTGATCCCTGGCATCCCATAGCGTCCCTCAAATCCAGCCAGGAGTGATTCCTGAACACAGAACCAAGTCCTGAGCACTGATGGGTGTGTCAAAACCCAATAAATAAATAAAAATGAAGACAGCCTCCCCCAAAGCAAAAACTAAGAGACAAACCCTATTTAAGCTTTAATTAACTATAAAATGGAGAGCAAATCTTTAGAGACCAAGACTCAAAATATTCCTTTGTGGCTGTGAAGATAGCTCAACTTGCTGGAGATAAGCAGGGTCCAGGGCTGAGTGTCCAGCACTGCATGGCCTCTCAAGCCCCACCAGGTACAACCCTGGTGGCCCCTCATGGTCGGAGAGGCCCAGAGCAAAATCCCCCAACTATCATTAGTTCATGTTCCTAGAGCGAACAGATGTCATTGGGCTACACTAGCACGTGACAGGGATAAATGGAGACGTTACTGGCGCCTGCTCGAGCAAATCAACGATTAACGGGAAGTTAAGTGATCATTAGTTCTACTTTGGGTACCTCTTCAGGAGAGTGTTAGAATGTGTCCATCATGATAGTGAAGGTGAAAGCTGAAACTCCTTAGAACTGTTTTATATGACAGTGTATCAAGCCGGTTTAGAGCATGGCTTCAAGTTTTCCCATTCATAACCCCTTTTCATCAGATAAGTGGAACATAAGTGAGCACTGCCAGCAATTCCAAATTGAGTACCCAATTGATTTTGAGCTTATTTTTTTGTTGCTGTGCATTCAGAAACCTCTCACTATAGCCAACTCTCCCCTAACAAACCTTCCCCATTCACAAATCCCTATGGGGTAGTCACAATCCAGTTGAAGAAGTTTGAGTTCAGGGCTGGGGGAAAAAGAGCTGAAAGCCCCCCAAGCTCTTGCTTGCAGGAGCGCCAGGTTCAATCCTTGGGGGATCTGCAGTCTTCCCAGCAGCTCTGCTGCTACAGGTAGATGGTGGACAAAGCATAGACCCTGTGCCTGTAAATCTGAAGTCACCTCATGCTCCCCTTCCTTTGTTCCCAGTTAAAAACGTTTCTGAGCTCTTCTTTAGATGGAAGGCTGACATGAAAATGGAGAATTCTTGCAGAAGATTCTGCTTAAAAAGATGACGAATGGGGGCTGGAGCAATAGCACAGTGGGTAGGGCGCTTGCCTTGCTCGCGGCCAAACAGGTTTGATTCCCAGCATCCCATATGGTTCCCCGAGCACCGCCAGGGGTAATTCCTGAGCGCAGAGCCAGGAGTAACCCCTGAGCATCTCCAGGTGTGACCCCTCCCCCAAAGAAGCAAAAAAGATGACAGATGGGGATGTGGTTCAGAGGAAGAGCACACGTCTTATATGCTGTGAGATCCTATGTTTGATCCCAGGTGTGTGTGAGCATACACACACAGAACTAAACAGATGATGATGAATCTATTTTTTTTTATTGTGAACACGGAAAAACCCATCAAACATTGTGTCTGAAACGGAGCTGTTTTTTGGTATCAGCCATAGCACCTTAGTTTAAAATAAAGTCTTCCATAAAATTTTCCTAAAGGAATACATCAGTGGCAAGATTTACTAAATGAATGGCATTCTGAATGCGTGTGCATTATGTATAGATTGGGGAATTAAGATATTGGATAAAGGAATGAATTATTAAATATAGTTTTAAAGTCCTACAAGCAGTTTATAATGAAAAAGTCACTTAGAAATGTATACCACATAATACTTCAAACAAATGAGGACTCCGTAAAATTGTGGAATCAAATATTGGGGGGGGGTCACACCTAGCAGTGTTCAGGGCTCTGTGCTCAAGAATCACTCGTGGTGGTGCACAGAGTGACCATATGTGGTGCCGGGGTTCAAATACAGGTTGGAGTGTGTGAGGCAAACGCCATTATCTGCTGTACTACCGCGCTGGTCCTCAAGTCAAATTTTTAACTAAAGATTTGAACTAGTGATGAGGTGTTAAGTGGCTAATTACCTAGCCTCTAAATAAATAAATAAATAAATATATAAATCCCTGACTTTCTTACAATAGCGTGGAGTATTATAATACTGACATTTCCAGTTTTATTCAAAGTTTGTGTAAGGCAAACGCGCTGCTGCAGTAGAACACCTCACAGCTCATTTCTTGATATAAATCATTCACCATTTTTGTAAACAAGTTTAGAATAACAATCTGATTTTTATTACAAACAAAAATAAATCTAAAAAGCTCCCTTTAATTATACAGTATGCACAAGGATTTCTGCATCATCTTACATAAAATGTTCCAATAACAGAGGGAGAAGCAGAGCTTCCTACTATCTTAAGAGAGAAGGTGAAAAACACATACACTTACAGAAAAAAACTATTGTTTCACAGGAAAGGCCTATATGGTCTCTGGCTACAGGTAGGGTGAAGCTAGGAACAGAAAGAAACTTGGAGGAAAAAATACATTCAAAACTCTATAATACTTCAGCAAAAAAAAAAAAAAATCAAACATTTGTAAACAACTTTAAATTTCTCTTCAATATGTTGTGCTGCTATAAGGTAAATAATTCTTAACTGATCTTTATTTGACTCAAAAATGCTGTTTTTACTGCTGGGGAGTACTTCCCTCTAGTTTAGATAAAAGCTTTGTTTTCTTTCCCTGTAGGCAAAAAAAGAAATGCAATTAGGGCTTTTTTCAAGATTGTGTTTGAATTTTTTGGACTGGGGCCTTTAACCAATTTGTTTCCAAAAACTAAGAGTTCGAATAAACAGTAAAATCGGAATAAAAAGATTTGGCTCCCCTTAAACAACTATTTGAAGGTTTGATAAGTGAAAACATCGATGCAACTGGCTATGGATTTTAGTTATTCCTGCTCATCACAAAGGATAATCAGGTCTTAAAAAGTATGAGTTGGCAATGCAATTACTTAAAAACCAAGTAAGGGTGAACTGTACTTGTGTCCTGGGCAAATGAAATACTGAAAATTTCCAATAAATTTACTGTGAATATCCAACTGTTCATGAACTTTCTTTTTTTTTTTCATTTGGTACCATGACTTAAAACTACCATTTTCTTCCATTTATCTATTTAGATATTTTTATGACATGATTACAAGTAACAACAATTAAAAAAAAAACACTTTCCTTTACATAATGATATAGCAAAGCCACATTATTAACTAGGAATAAAGTCTGAGATCTATCATTCTAAATCCTACTGGAGAATTCAACTCTTAGCTTCCATGCCTAGATATATTTTGGGGTAACTAGAAAAGTCTCTAGAAACACTAAATCCCTCCTATGGAGTAACAGATGTACAAACAAGTAGCAGTGCTCTGAATGAGTTCTGCTTTTCTTTAGTACAGACTTAATTTTTCTGTGTCATTTTAATTTTACTATTAAATTAACATAATTTCAGATAAGTAATCAAATACTTTGGAAGGATAATTCTCCTTTTATCTTAAGTGCGAAGTGATGGCAGACATTTTATTTTCCAAACTTTCTAATGAAGGATTCTAAAAATGACCGAGTTCAGTACAAACTGCCCTTTATGTTTATTGCTTGTATACAAGGATATATGCTCAAACTCAGTGAAAGAGGGAAAGTGGAAGAAAAAATTACCTGCTTTAGCAATTTAAGAATAGTTTTGACAAACTTCTTAGATCAACTTGCTTATCTGAAATAGAGCAAAACTACAATACAATCACGATATAATTCTAATAGTCACAGCAATAATGCTTTCATTTAAAATTTCTTTTCATAAAATATTAATGCTATAAAAATGAGGTCGATGAAATCTTTATTTAAAAGTCAACCTGTACTGGTATCAAAATGTGGTTTAATACCAACTGAAAAAATAGAGCTTATATAGTCTATTATTTCAATGAAATTTTATCACTACTTTTATTTTCAAAGTTGGTAGCAAAGATACTGTTTACAATATAAATTTTCTTTATTTAAGTGTTAAAATTCCCTTAAAAGAGTTGAAAGGCCGCAGGCATTCCGGAATGGGGCTTGCAAAAGAAAATCATTTACTCTATTATCAGCATCATACTTGGTGAGTTTATATTTACTTCTTCAACTTCCTAACTTCTGATCTGTCAGGCTTTTAATCATTTGATATTAAAATATTACATTAAAAAAAAAAACTAAGGCCAAGTCTTTTAGCTGGAGCAATTAGTTCCATATCCCAATACTTCTTAGTTTTCCAAATACTGACTAAATCCAATAATTAATGTAGGAAGGAAGGATCAATTAAGGTGGATCGTACTCATTTACCTTTTAATTTCATTTAAGAGATATTAATGAGTCATAAAAGCTTTACAGAGTTAACACACACAATCACAGAATTAAAAATCTTTACACCATAGAGTTCCATTTTGTTCAATGCTACCAGTCAACTCTCAATCTAATGAAATATGCTTTTATTAAATACAGCAGCTATCACTTACCTTTAAATATTTTATGGATGGAACTAAGTTCAGTACTGATCCAAGGATGTTTGCATCAAGCCCTCACTCTGAACTATCCCTACAGGTCGTGCATTTATAATGTACCACCAATTATTCTAGATTTAAAATACCCTGTTTTTTACTTGGCATATACCATCTTTTAGACAAAAAAAAAATTATTATTTTGAGATGAGATACAAGAACAAATAATTCTTGAGGTTCCACCTCAGAAAAAGGCAATGTTTGCACATAGCAGCTAGTTTGATACCCCTTGTTATTTTAGACTAGCCTCCACACAATGAGCATGCATATATAACCATGGTTCATTGCGTCTGCTTTGAAGTTGAGAACTGCTGCTCTTTCAAGTCACAGATGCCCCCATTTTATGCAAGGAGACAAGTGAACTGTATTTCCACCAGAAGAAAGGAAAACAAATGATGAAACAAACGCAGCAAATATAGGCAATTGGCATTCAGAACACGCCAAAAAAGCTAACACTCATTAATTGTCAATATAAGAGTTTTTTTTCCTTAAAAAAAAGTCTTTGCATATTTCAAAATTAATCAGTTCCAGAGAATCATGAAGTGCCTTGTCGTTTCTGTTGCTGACTTCTGATGACCTCTAGTTGTTTTTTGCACTGCTGGTAGTAAGTAGAAAGGCTTTTGTTTTCATCCAAAAGCTTTTTATGTTCCTGTACCAGACGAGATGTATTTTGCTGGTCCTTTTCATCCTGGTCCAGTTCTGCAACTAGTTCTTGCCTAAAAACAAATAGCACACAATAAAGTATTACACATGATGGAAAAATTCATGACTTACTAGCTGGATACACAATCAATAGATTTTCATTCAGGATTTGTAGTTAGGCAACTTAGACATAGATCCAACTATAATAGGCTGAAATAGCAACTATTACCCATTCTTCTAGTCTAACTACACAACTTGCACTGAAAACAGATAAAATGGAACAATAAAAGTTTCGAGAGGACAGGGAGATGGTATAGTTAGTCCTTGCATCCAGATGTTTGATCCTTGGCACACATGGTCCCTCAAGCACCGCTCAGCTGGCCTGGATAAGCCACTCCCCACTTCCCTGGCGGTCACCAAAGTCTGAGCAGTGCCATACCCTCAGCCCTCACAATGAACTGCTGAGGTCTGGCAGGCCAAGCTTGACTAGAGATCCCTGAGCAACCTGGGGAGACTGAAACAAATGAAAACAGTTTTAGAAAATTTAACTTGGTATTACTGCTTTTGTGCAGGAAGGAGAAAGACACTGGGAAAGGCTTTGTCTTCCACGGGGGGGGGGGGAACAACCCGTGAAGCTTTGCTATTCACTCTATTTTTTTAAAATTCTGTACATCTGGTATTTTAAAATTCTGTACACGCTTTGGATTACAATCCCATCTAAGTACATTTCAAAGTTGAAGCTACAGATTATTTATCAGGTCTTTAAAATATGCTATTTAACTTAAATTACCCTCACCTTTTCTTTTCTTTTCTTTTTTTTTTTTTTTGGTTTTTGGGGCCAACCTAGTGGTGCTCAGGGCTTACTCCTGGTTCTGTGCTCAAGGACCATCGGGTGGGCTCAGGAACCAAATGGGGTATCTTTCTGGCCCTGAATCTTCCCTATTTTAAAAGTGGATACAGAGTATCACTATTAAACTACAGTTTAATAGTGATTTTAACAATTTCAGAAAAATACCCTCAGAATCTTGATAAACTGCCTGAGTTCCTAAAATCAAGGCAACCAAATATAACTGAGAAATGAAAAGACCTCAAACAAAATACATTCCTAGTATTTCTCTCTTAAAAGTATTTAAGATTCATTAGAACTGTCAAGAATTTTCACCTCTCCCAAATTTATAATTTTTTCCAGTAAGGAGCTCCTCTATTATTATAGTATAAAGAAGATATGTTAAATATGTAAAATGAGAAATAGTATTTTAAAAATATAAAACACCAGAAGCTTCATAATTAGTTCTAAAATTTGCAGACACTAATATTTAATTTTCTATCTAGCTTAACCTTAAGATTTGCTCGAGCGGGCCCAGTAACGTCTCCATTGGAGACTTTGTTGTTACTGTGTCTGGCATATCGAATACTCTCGGTAGCTTGCCGGGCTCTCCGAGAGGGGCGGAGGAATCGAACTCGGGTTGGCCATGTTGGCCGCTTGTAAGGCAAACGCCCTACCCGCTGTGCTATCGCTCCAGCCCGACCTTAAGATACCAAGCTGAATTTGCTTAAATCATTCTATCAGCAAATTGTAACAAAACCATCCTCAGCTCCCTTTTAGAAACTCTTTATAAATTACTCAGGAAAGTACAAATTGCATTTATTTAGATTAAAATTGACAGAAAAAATTCTACTACTCTTATAAATCCGTTTCAAAGGTATAAAATTCCATGTGGATCACGCTTAAGAAAGCGAAAGGACTGCAAATAATCCATTATGAAAACTGGATTATATTTCTTTAGAAAGGAGATCAAGGCAGTCTACATAATTTTTTGAAAAACATCCGAGTATAAATTTCTCAAAACTATTAAACATTAATAAATATGAAACAAAACGGGCAAATAAGTAATACCAGTTCCGCTAAATCCATACCTGGAGAAACTATTTCTAAGATACTAATGATTAGTATATTAAATTATTTTACTGATGATAAAGGGAAAAATATAATAAAATATACGGGCTGGAGCAGTAATACAGCAGATAGGGTGCTTGCCTTACACACTGTTGACCTGGGTTCTATCCCTGGCATCCCATATGTTCTCCTGAGTACTGCCAAGAGTAATGTCTGATAGAGCCAAGAGTAACCCCTGGGCACTGCAGGGTGTGGCCCAAAACAAAAACAAAAAATAATAAAATATAAGCAGCTTTTAAATTAAAAAAATCTGAGAACATAAAACATATTCTTATGGGGCCTAGCAAAAGTACAGTGGTTAGAGTGCCTTCCTTGCATGTGGCTGATCTGGGTTTAATTCCTGGTACCACATATAGTCTGGCAAGCACTGACAGGGCAGAGCCAGGAGTAACTGCCGGGTATGCACCATTCACATCCGCTCCCACCCCCCCGCAAACAAAACAAAACAAAACAAAAAAACACCCAACAGCAAAACCATATAGTTATGTAGCAACATTTCATTTTCCTTAGTACTACTATTTGATAGGTATAGGAATTGAGTTTTTTTCTGAAAAATAGCCTACAGCTGCTTAATTAACAAGTGTGAACATAAATCAAATCCACAGGTTGGAAATGTTTAGTAATTCTAGATACTATAACATTTTTATACCTACAAACAATATAGCACCTTAACATATTTCACTCTCAAAATAATGATATTTGTGTCCTTATTCATAAAAATATAACTTACTTTCTTTGTAATAACAAAGCAATTTCTGTCTGAACTTTCATATATTCTTGTGCCATTTTACAATGCTGTTCAAACACTGCCATAGATTCTTTGGAGTTTGGGCATGGTGCTAGAGGCTGAAAAAAAATGAGGAATGTCAAACATAATTAAATAAAATTTCAATACCTAGTTAATAGTTAAAGCAGACTGTGATGTACTGTTAAAGCATTAAAGCAAGAATATTTTATAAGTGCTATAAATCAAGAAAGCTTCAGTGTCTTTTCGTCCAGGTCAGTAAAGAACTTAAATTTATACTTAGTATTCTAACACTTTTGTTGTAATAAAGAACAATGACTAGGAGTTGGAGCGACAGCATAGTGGATAGGGCATTTGCCTTGCACGCGGCCAACCTGGGTTTGATTCCCGACATCCCATATGGTCCCCCGAGCACCACCAAGAGTAATTCCTGAGTGCAAAGCCAGGAGTAACCCCTGTGCATCGTTGGGTGTGACCGAAAAAGCAAAAGCAAAAGCAAAAGCAAAAGCAAAAGCAAAAGCAAAAAAAAAAAAAAAACCCAAACAAACAAACAAAAAAAACACAACTGTAGAGCTTTGCTTCTGGTTCTACACTTCACGCTGGCAAACTATAGTATACCAAAAGATATTTTCATACTTGGAGGCAACACTGAAGTGTATTAGTTCTATTTTCAGTTATCATGAACATGATAATGTGTCAAAAATATCTTTATTAAGTGTAAATATGAAGCAAATTTGTTTGTGCCTGCTAAGGCGGCAGGCTTAGGGGCAAGTGGGGGAACTGGGGACATTGGTAGAGAGAAGGTCATACTGTGGTGGGACTGATTTTGGAACACAATCCCCGAAAACTGTATGATGAGCAACTTTGTAAATCATGGTGTTTAAATTGAAAAATCTATTACGTTTATACTGAGTTTTACATTTAAAAGTACTAAAATGAAAGAGCAGAAAAATTCTTGGCAACCTTGAACAAAGATGTATTTTACAATGGCTGCTAGAGAAATAACATTGGATTTTGCCAATTTAAAATCTGATTAAAGAATTGTTTATTTAAAAGTTTAAGAGGCTGGGCCAAAGAGAGTACAATAGGTAGGGCACTTGTCTTGAATGTGGTCAGCCCAGGTTCAATCCTAACAATACATACACCTAGTTCCATAAATACTACCAGGAGTGACTCCTGAGCACAGAGCCAAGAGTAAGCCCTGAGCAGAGTCAAGTGTGAGCCAGAAATAAAAAGTAGGTAAGTATATCAAAAATTTAAGGTCAATTAAAAGCATATTTAATTATATTTAATTAAAAATGAATACATATAGTAAGATAGGCACGCAATTAAACTTTAAATTCTCTAAAAGGAAAAAAGTAAATATTCACTGAGAAAGCACTACTTTACCTGTAATTGGTGATCCAGTGTTAGATAGGCCATTGGGATAGAGTTGTCTGAGCCATTGGTATCTGGAATTAAAGCATGTATTTTATCTCATAATTGTAAAACAAGCAAGAAAGGATGCATCACTTTTCTTCCAAGTAAAAATACATAATAAAAAGGTATTGCCATTGGCATTATTAAATTAAAAAAAAAAACCAAAAAACTCAGAAATACAGGACCTTTATAATTTAAATTTAGTATTAACTATTACTGCATCTTTCTTTTCTCAAATATGCTATGTTTACTGTAAGGCTTTGTCAGTTCTGGCAATATACTTTAGCAGGAAAGAGGCAAGGCATTCTTTTCCAGTGGGTCACCTTCAATTTGTATGGATTTTAATGTGAGCCCTCAGTTTGCCCATTATTAGGGAATCACGACAAAAAATGAAAAATATTTGTGATGGGAGTATATTACACAAATGAGCAGAAGGGCAATTATGGTTCAATGTCATATCCTAGTCAATGGGTTAAGTTGATTTGATAAAATTGTTCAGCCTTGTTTGTATTTCGTAAGTTAAACTAGCCTGAAAATTTGCATGAGGAACATAATATGGTATCTTTCTAGCATTATACATGTATGTACTATAGTTCCAAAAAGCATCTGTGAACACAGATTTTTCTATTTCAGACAAAGTTGTTTTTCCACTGCTCCGGAATAAAGGAGTTAAAGTGAGCTGTTTCTCTGATAAGTTAACTCCATGAAAGAGTGGTAGGGATAAGATCATAAAAACAAGACATTGTAGCCAATAAAAAAAAAAAAGTTTGATGGCTCAGTAATCTAATTTATTGCTGAATGATAATTTTTTCTTCTTTCCTGAGAATGTGCTTGCAAGTAACAACATAATGCTGGCACATGTTAAACATTCAGCACATAATAATGGTGATTACTATTAATACTACTGATACCAAATAAAAAGTAGAAAGAAAGGCTAATATTAAACAGTCAAGCTGATATTTCAGGTTGCATAAGTCACGTTTACTAAACACTGGACTGCAATAAAGAAAGAGTAGCAGGGCAGGAGTGATGGTGGAGAGGGTAGGGTGTTTTCTTTGCATGAGGCCTTAAATTTCTTTCTTCAATTTAACATTTCCACTCCTATTACTTTCTTAAATATTTCATATTATATATAATTAAACTATTTCCTGTATCTGATATGTATTTCAGAATTGTAAAATACAAGTTTTACAGTGCTCTGGAGAAAAAAGTCCAAGGATTATGTTATTCAAACAATTAAGGCACCTCAATGGTGAGATATTTTTTGCGTGGGGGAGGGGCACAGATACTACTTAAAAAACCACCTCATACACCCTGAGTTTCCTTGATATAGAATGCTATCTATTTGTTGCTATTTGACTAAAGACTAAGTCTCATTATTTCACAAAAATATCAAGGATTGAAGCTGAATCAAGAAGATATAGAGTACCTGAATAGACCTATTAACATAAAGGAAATTGAAACTGTAATCAAAAGTCTTCCCAAAAACAAAAGCCCAGGTCCAGATGGATTCACTAGCGAATTTTTCCAAACATTTAAAGAAGACCTATTACCAGTTCTTCTCAAGCTTTTCCAGGAAATTGAAAAAACAGAAATCCTCCCAGTTTCTATGAAGCCCATATTTCCCTAATACCAAAAGGAAACAAAGACACCACAAAAAAAGAAAACTACAGGCCCATATCCCTGATGAACACGGATGTGAAGATTCTCAACAAAATACTAGCAAACAGAATTCAACTACTCATCAAAAAGATCATACACCACAACCAAGTGGGATTTATCCCGGGAATGCAAGGATGGTTTAACATTTGGAAATCAATCAACATAATCTATCATACCAACAAAAGAAAAGATAAGAATCATATGATCATATCAATAGATGCAGAGAAAGCATTTGACAAGATCCAGCACCTGTTTATGATGAAAACCCTCGCCAAATTGGGGATAGAGGGGACTTTCCTCAATATAGTTAAAGCCATCTACCACAAGCCTACACCAAGCATTATCCTCAATGGGGAAAAACTAAGAGCCTTCCCCGTAAGATCAGGGACCAGACAAGGATGCGCACTCTCTCCACTACTGTTCAATATAGTACTGGAAGTATTTGCAATAGCGATTAGACAAGAAAAAGATATTAAGGGCATCCAAGTAGGAAAGGAAGAAATCAAGCTCTCCTTATTCACAGATAATATGATACTATACTTAGAGAACCCTAAAACCTCTACCAAGAAACTCCCAGAAACAATAGATCTGTATAGTAAAGTTGCAGGCTATAAATCAATACCCAAAAGTTCATGGCTTTCCTATATGCAAATAGTGAGAGAGAAGAAAACAACATGAAGAAAACAATCCCGTTCACAACTGTGCCCAGAAATTCAACTACCTAGGAATTAGCTTAACTAAAGTAAAGGACCTGTACAAAGAAAACTACAAAACGCTGCTTCAGGAAATAAAAGAGGACACAAGGAAATGGAAAAATATCCCCTGTTCATGGATCGGGAGGATTAACATTGTCAAAATGGCAAAACTTCCCAAAGCACTGTACAAATTCAATGCGATCTCTATTAGGATACCCATGACATTCTTCAAAGAAATGGAGCAAACACTCCTGAAATTTACATGGAACAATAAGCCCCCACGAATAGCTAAAGCAATTCTTGGGAAAAAGAAAATGGGAGGAATCAACCTTCCTAACTTCAAACTCCTCTACAAAGCAGTAATAATTAAAACAGCATGGTACTGGAACAAAGGCAGAACAGCAGACCAATGGAACAGAGTTAAATATACTGACATCTCCCCCCAAACATATGATCACCTAATCTTTGATAAAGGAGCAAGAAATGTGAAGCGGAGTAAGGAAAGCCTCTTTAACAAATGGTGCTGGCAAAACTGGACAGCTACATGAAAAAAAAAATGGGCTCAGATCTCTGCCTAACGCCATGTACAAAAGTAAGATCAAATGGATTAAAGACCTCAACATCAGACCGGAATCCATAAGGTACATTGAAGACAAAATCGGCAAATGATATTGAAGCTAATGGTGTCTTCAAAGATGTCACGCCACTGACTAAGCAAGTGAAAACAGAGACAGACAAATGGGACTATATTAAACTAAGAAGCTTCTGCACCTCAAAAGAAACAATGACCAAAATACAAAGACAGCCCACAGAATGGGAAAGGATATTCGCCAAATACACATCCGACAAGGGGCTGATATCAAGGATATACAAAGTACTGGTTGAACTCCACAAAAAGAAATCACCCAACCCCATCAAAAAATGGGGCGAGGAAATGAACAGAAACTTCATCAAAGATGAAATTCGAATGACTAAAAGACACATGAGAAAATGCTCTACATCATTAATCATCAGAGAGATGCAGATCAAAACAACAATGAGATATCATTTCACACCACAGAGACTGGCCCACATCCAAAACAAAAGCAACCGGTGCTGGCGCGGATGTGGTGAGAAAGGGACCCTCCTTCACTGCTGGTGGGAATGCTGACTGGTTCCGCCCTTCTGGAAAACAGTATGGACGATTCTCAAAAAACTAGAAATTGAGCTCCAATTTGACCCAGCAATTCCACTCCTGGGAATATACCCTGAAGAGGCAAAAAAGTATAGTTGAAGTGACATCTGCAGTTGTCTGTTCATTGCAGCACTGTTTACAATAGATAGAATCTGGAAAAAACCTGAGTGCCCAGGAACAGATGACTGGTTAAAGAAGCTTTGGTACATCTACACAATGGAATACTATGTAGCTGTCAGAAAGGATGAAGTCATGAAATTTACATACAAGTGGTACTACATGGAAAGTATCATGCCAAAGTGAAATGAGTCAGAAAGAGAGGCATAGACAGAGAAAGACTGCATTCATCTGGGTAACATAAAGTAACAAAATAGGAGACTAACACCCAAGAATAGCCGAGATAAGTACCAGGTGGATTACTCCATGGCTTTGAGGACAACCACACACGCTAGGGGAAAAAGCAGCTCAGATAGAGAAGGGAGCACCAAATAAAGGGTGTTGGGAGGTTCCTCTCAGAATGGGAAATGCGTGATGAGAGTAGACTATAGTCCGATCAAGATTGCCACTCAATATCTCTTTTGCAAACCACAGCACTCAAAAGGAGAGAGATAACAAAAGAGAATGTCCTGCCACAGTGATAGGGTGGGATGGGGGATGGGGGGAGGGGGGGGTGGGAGGGATACTGAGACTGGTGGTGGTAGAGAATGGGCACTGGTGGAGAGATGGGTATTCGATCATTGTATAACTGAAACCCAAGCACAAAAATCTGTAAGTCTACAACTGTACCTCATGGTGTTTCACTAATAAAAATTTAAGGGAAAAAAAATATCAAGGATTGTGCCTAATCTTACCTAACTGATCTCTTTCAACTAATAATAAAGTTGTATTTATATACCATAATGCTATATTTAAAATGCCAACTTTATGAATACTGTTAATGTCTTCATTTCTACTTACTTTCTATTTCTAATGTACTTGCAAAGGAGAAACTCTTCAGTGACTTCTGGCTACTCTGCTTTCCCTATACTACGCCTATGTATCTCTTTCGTATATCTCTTTCTTCATTTCCACTACATCATAAATAAAAGTACATTTTATGTGCAGTGGTTGTATTTTTCTCAGAAAATAAAGAGGAACTGCTCCCTCTTTTTTTTTTTTAAAGAAGTCTAGTAATTAACCAGGCTTTGATTATTAACCAAAACCCAACTACTCCCAGTTCTGTGCTTGGGGGTTCCTCCTGGTGATGCTCAGAGGAACCATGTGGTAATGGGGACTGAATCCTGTATAATACAATATATCCTTTAGCCCACTGACTTAGCTCTCTAGTCCTAACTAGATGCATGTACTTTTAATCTGCTCCTTGGTGAGTCTTCAAACAAAAAAAGATTTTCTTTTTCTACAATTTATTCTATCAGCTTTTCCGAGAAAAAGTATAAAGCTAAATGTGATAATGATGGGCTGGAGTGATAGCACAGCGGGTAGGGGTTTGCCTTGCACACAGCCGACCCGAGTTTGATTCCTCCACCCCTCTCGGAGAGCCCGGCAAGCTACCGAGAGTATCTCGCTCGCATGGCAAAGCCTGGCAAGCTACCCGTGACATATTCGACACGCCAAACACAGTAACAGCAAGTTTCACGATGGAGACGCTACTGGGCCCGCTTGAGAAAATCGATGAACAACGGGAGGACAGTGACAGTGACAGTGATAATGATAAATCACAATCTCAGCTTCTAAATTGTAATCCATATTATTTGAAAATGATTATATACCTATAACAGATTTCAAGGAAAGGATAAAATTTAGTTGTTATTACAACCTAGTCCTTGTATGATTTTAAGTTACTGGTATTGTGTGGTATTTTAGGTAACTGAAAATATAAATGAGAGAGGTTGAGAAGGGGGGTGATTACATGAAAGCTAAACACAGCAAGTAAATGTGAGCTGTATGTTGACGAAATGTATAGATATGTTAAGTTGAAGTTAAAAGGTCTTGCCACATAGAGTACCTGTGGTCTGGCAAATGCTACCATGTGAGAGTACTGTGTCTTTGAATGGTTTAGAAACTAAAAAAAAAAAAAAAGCTGATACTACCTGAAGACTAATGACAAAACATTATAATGCATTCTGTACATGTACTGATTTATGGTGAATGTTCTAGTATAGCATTTCTTAACCAGCAGTCACAGAGTCCCCAGGATATCCCAGACAACACAAGTGAAAAATGAAGGCCAAGGCATGATAGTAGCAGGATTATGCCAGAGAGAGAGCGGGGGGAAACACAATAAGAGAAAAAGGTTAAAGGGGCCCCAGTCAGAGAAACACGAAGACTAACAATAGTGAACTGTTCTGGACGGTACTAGGATTGCTGTGCTAGGGATGAAACTGGGAGGAATTTTTGCCACCACTAAATTTAAACTTACTAAAGCTAGTGAGTACAAGCCCCGGCTAAACATAGTTCTTACATGACACAAACAAAAACCACCCAGGACTCTCTTAATTTTTTTAAATTATGAAATTGACTAAATCATGCCAAATATCTTTAAATATTTGTAAGCAAGTATTTTAGTTTGTAAAGCTGGATAGTTTATTTGAAATTCCACTATTAATATGATTGATTTTTGTATATAATCCCAAATGGCTTAATTTTCCAAGGTCTAAGAGATCATCTTTCTCTCTATGATATAATAACACATAAATAATTTTTATAGAAGTAAAATTCTGAGTATTTATATATTGTCCAGGGACATAATTTCCTCCTGGCCCATGATGAAACCTTTAGACCAGTAGATTTCAATATTAGTATTTTCACTAGAAAGCTAATTCAAGCTGAGAGGTTTAATAATGGTGAGCAGGCTTTTTAACGTTTAGTGAGCAGAATATTTGTGCAACTGAAATGAAGACTCCTTACCAGTAAAAAATTATTCAAAACATCAGAGGTCAGAAATTTTTTTTCTCTCATGATACTTTGTACGTTTAAAACAAAAGACCAAGATAAAAAAAAAAAAACCTATTTTTACTACTGTGCAGGTTTTAGTTATTTAAAAGTTTATTTATTTGGGGCTGGAGAGGTAGTATAGTGGGTAGGGCATTTGCCTTGTATGCAGTCAACCAAGGTTTGATTCTTGGCCATAAGCCTGCCTGGAGTGATCCCTGAGTGCAGAGCCAGGAGTAAGCCCTTGAGTATTGCCCCCCACAAAAAATAAAAAGTAATGATTTTACTATGCTACCTGGTGGGATTATCATTTAACGGACAATCACAGACCAAAGTATCAAGAATATGCTAACTTCCTACCCAGATATAGATTAAAAAAAAATCTTCAAAATATGTGGATGCAATGTAGTGGGAAATTGCTACTCGATTATAACTACCTTGCTGATGCTTTCTACCCATTCTCTCTTAAATCTTTCAGTCTAAGAGGAAAAGTGTTACTTCCATTTTATCATGGCATAACTAAGGCCTTAGGTAACTAAGACAGAATATGATTATAAACACTGTAGCTGGCTGATGGGTACTGAAACTGGAAGGTTTATTTAATCCCAAACCAAAAGTTATGGAATAGAAGGTATGATGGTAATTATATCTATTATCAAAATATTTCTTAACCAACTGAACATCTTGGGTTTTAGCCTGTTATTCAATATTGAGTAAAAATAAATAGTTGGGCAACCCCCCCCCCCCACAAAAAAAAACGTGGATATATATGAGGAAAAGCATGGAGTACAACTGGTCTCCACTTCAGTATCGAAAAAGCATTTTAAAGTTTATTAATTGCCCGCATTTAAAAAGATATAATGATACAAATGAAACCAAAACACATATGATGAACTGTATAATTATAACAATGAAATATAATGTGGCATTATAAATAAAATATAACCTGTGGCATCATCAGGGGTCCAGGGGTGACTTCGAGCTGGCTTTTCTGAGGTTGGTCCTGAGGTAGTGATCATTCTGACACTAGGACTGGAAGACCTACTGCTCACCTGGAGAGATAAGAACAAAGAAAGGTAATTTTTGATTAAAAACAACCTCATCGAGAGAACACAAGGGATTGCCCTGCCACAGAGGCAGGGTGAGATGGGAGGGGTGGGGGTGGGAGGGATATTATCCATGATGGTGGAAAATGGGCACTGGTGGAGGGATGGGTATTTGATCATTGTATAATCGAAACCCAAGCACAAAAAATTGTAAATCTACAACTGTACCTCATGGTGTTTCACTAAAAATAAAGTAAGTAAGTAAAGGCCCTCCCGTTGATCATTGATTTGCTTGAGCGGGCCCAGTAGCGTCTCCACTGGAGACTTTGTTGTTACTGTGTCTGGCATATCGAATACGACACGGGGAGCTTGTCAGGCTCTGCCGTGCGGGTGAGATACTCTAGGTAGCTTGCCGGGCTCTCCGAGAGGGGCGGAGGAATCGAACTCGGGTCGGCCATGTTGGCTGCGTGTAAGGCAAATGCCCTACTGCCGTGCTATCGCTCCATAAAAAAAAAAAAGTAGGTAAACGGGGGGGGGGGGGGAGAGAGAGAGAAGGAGAGAGAGAGAGAGAGAGAAAGAGAGAGAGAGAGAGAGAGAAGAAAAGTGTCTGCAATAGAGGCCAACTGAGGGGTGATGTGATGGTAGGAGGGAAGGAGGGAAACTGGGAACACTGGTGCTGGGCAACGTACACTGGTGGAGAGATGGGTATTGGAACACTGACTTAAACCTAATCATGAATAGCTTTGTAAGGGTCTATTTTACACTGATTCAATAAAAAAAATCTTTAAAGAAAAAAAAAAACAACCTCACCCAGATAAGTATCCTAGGAATAGTAATGTAAACATATTTGAAAGCCTAGTTGTACAAATAAATGGTAACTTTCAAAAACTGATGAATCTGCAAGAAAGAGAAATGTTCTGAAATCAGAAATAAAATAGAATGGGAAGTAGAGATATTTTAGGTCCGGAAATTTCAATGAAATGATCTGGTCTGCTCTAGAGCTTTAGTTCTGACAGCATGCTACACTCAGATAATGGGCCAGAGAGTAAGAATATAGTCTTAGGCAACTGTAGGAGGAAGGATTCCCCTGCTTCAAAGTAAAATCCAAGAAAGATTTCATTCCCAAGGGAAAGAGTAAACTTGGGAAAAAAAAAGATCAACAAAAGTAGTTAGCTAGTAAATTTGTCTGTTATGGGATAGTGGCTCTTGGAGAAAGGACTGTGTATCCACTGAATGTAGAAAAAAAATATTTCCAGAATGGTCGATAGAAATAAATCAATATATCCCAAGTACAAAAGGGAGATGGGGAGGGTAAATGGGCGAGGGGGAGGGGAAGTGGAGGAGGGGGGAGAGAAAAGAGGTAAGGGGGAGGGGGAGGAGAAGGGGAGGGGAAGGTGGAGAGAGAAGGGGAGGAGAGGGGAGGGGGAAGGAGAGGGGGAGGGAGGAGAGGAGAGGGGGAAGAGGAGGAGGAGGGGGGGAGAGAGGGGGTGGAGAAGAGGAGGGGAAAGGGAGGTGAAAAAGGGGGGAAGAAAGGGGGAAGGGGAAAAAGGGGGAGGGGGAAGGGGAGGAGAACAAAATCTATAACGCTGAGTAAAATTTTGTAAATGAATTTTATAGAGGGAAAAGTCATATACAAAATACTTGTCATAATCTAACAATAGAAGACAAAAGAAAGGGAGTATCATCAAACTGCTTAAAATCATTTCCAGCCTGAAATTGTTTAACCAACAAAAATGTGAAGAACGAGGTCAAAAATAACTCAGATAAGCAAAAACTAAGTTTACGATTCATAGACTCCTACCATAAGAGTCACTAAACCATGTAATTTAGGGAGAAGAAAACATTTTTGCTGATGGAAGAGCAAAACTGCATTTAGAATACTATTAAATACAAGGATGAATCTATATAGTAAAAGTATTAAAAGAAAAAAATGCCAATTTTACAGAGTTATAATTAAGGTATAGACATCTGAGTAACAACAGAATTACTATCAGATTTAAAAGATGAGAACACATTTAAAAACCCTTGAAGTAGGACCGGAGTGGTAGTACAGTGGGTAGGGAGTTTGCCTTGCTAGCAGCCAACCAGGGTTCGATTGCTGGCACCCCATATGATCCCTGGAGCTCTGCCAGAAGTAGTCCCTCAGCTCAGAGCCATAAGTAAGCTCTGAGCACCACTGGGTACGGCCCCCAAAACAAAACAAAACAAAACAAAACACCCCCCCCAATAAAGAAAAATAAAACCCTTGAAGGATACAGGTTTGATTTTGTGTTAGGCATTAGTGTTAAAATTTCAAGGACAGAGATAATATATGCTTTAATACTAGACATCAATATCATAACTACACAACAAACATTCCTTGAATAAAATGACAAGATATGATAAGTGAGTGCTGAGGTTAATTTCATGTAAGGCTGGGTGCTTAGTTTTACTTACCCAGAACATGTAGATATATACAGTAAAAAGAAGAAAGAGAGAAACATGTAATTCTTTTAGGATATTGTTACCCTTGGTAAAGTAAGAATGGCTATTTTGATATTATTCCTGAGTCCTTTTAATCCTTTCTGACTGAAAACAAGTCTCAATTTAAGAAGCAAATGCTGATTAAACCACAGTTGTAATTTCTTTTGTTGTTGCTATGGCAGTATGCTAGGGGGAGAGGGGGCGGGGAGGGCTGGCAAGTCACACCCAACAGTACTTGGGAGGAGCAGAGGTGCTGGGGATCAAATCTAAAGCCTTACACATGCAAGGCATCTGCTCTACTATTGGGCTACATCTCTGGCTCCACAGTTCTAGTTTCTTTTGGAAATCAGGAGCAGTTTTTCTGCTGGCAGAAGAGAGTTCTAGTGTCAGTAATTTTTTTTTTTTTTTGCTTTTTGGGTTACACCTGGCTATGCTCAGGGGTTACTCCTGGCTTTGCACTCAGGAATGACTCCTAGTGATGGTCATGGGACCAAATGGGATGCTGGGAAGCGAACCCAGGTCAGCCGCGAGTAAGGCCCTACCTGCTGTATCCTGCTGTACCTATCACTCCAGCTCCGTGTCAGATGACTTTTATGCTGATTATCCCCTTATTTCAATATTTAAGAAAGAAATATCTCCGTGACATGTGAAACAGTACCATTAATGAGAAATAAAACAAGATTTGAAACACATAAGAATTAGGTTAACACATGGAGACAAATTTTGTGTATGAAAAAAAGGTCACTGGCTCTTCAAGCCCAAGTTCTCCCTTGAACACATTACCTAGCTTACTTGTCCCTATGACGCTGTCTGCTTGCTCTGGCAAGCTCATGTTCTCTCTTGAACACGTATTCCTTTCCTTCTTCACCCCCATCTTTCTAAGTTGAATTTTCAGTAAAAACTATCTCACTTCACAGGAAAAAAAAAAAAAGAAAGAAAAAAGGTCACTGAACACTTACTAAAGTAACAGTTTTTAGGTATGGTATGAATTATAGTATTCCTTGAGTTTAAATCTTCCTTGTTTCCTTTCATCTTCTACCTTCCAAGATATTCCTAGATAGTACTTCTTGTGCTCATTCGTGAGATTTTAGTATAGCAATAAAACAAATAAAAGGGTCAACTAAATTAAGTTTCAAAACTGGTCCTGGCTCTGGGGATGTGTCTCAGTGGCAGAGCAACTACTTGCCTTGCAGTCAGTTGTGAGGCCATGAGCTTAATTCATAGCAAGACCCATTTGCTGAATAAGATCCCCATGGCACTGCCATTGGTATCCTGGTGTTACAAAAAATCTGTGTGATCAAAAATCCAGTGCAGTGTAGCCAAGTGGTGGGGACCGACCCACACAATTCATCACTACAACCACAACTAAAGGAGAAAACAAGATACAAACAAAAAGCTGAAAGAGTTTTTTTCTTTAAAGTCACAAAAAAGTTATGAATTAAGATTTAAGTCTTTAGTAAATTTTATATTCCAACCAGTGAGTAACATGATACTTTAACATGTCTAAGTAGGAAAATAAAGAGTATCATGCTGAGTGAAGCCAGTTAGGGAGAGGATCAGTCTCAGAATGATCTCTGCCACGTGTGGGATATACAGGAACTTCATAAGGGAATATCAAATGCCCAAAGGCAGTAGAAACGAAGAGCAGGAGAACTGGTCTTCAGTAGGAAGCTTGCCACTGGGATGAGGATTTGGGGCATGGGGGTATAAGTTAGGGAAGGGAACACTAAGACAATGGTGAAGGGAAAAGTGCCCGCCATAGAGACAGACTAGGGGGCAGGAGGGAAACTGGGGACACTGATGGAGGGTAGTAGACAATGGTGAAGTATTGGTGTTGGAACATATATGCTTGAACTTCTTTGTAACTTTGTAATTCACAGTGATGGAATTAAAAAATTATTTGCTTAACAATACACAAAACTTCAATAAAGAAAACCTCTTTATGTTACTACTTCCAACCAACCTATAAGGAAAAACTTTTATATTTGCTATTTAAAAAATCAATATTAGAATTCTGAGGCCAATATATGCTCTCAAATTAATACAAGTCCTTCAAGACAGTCAAATTATCATTTCCTGAGGGATGGGTATTTGATCATTGTATAATCGAAACCTAAGCACAAAAATTTGTAAATCTACAACTGTACCTCATGGTGTTTCACTAATAACAATTTTTAAAAAATTATCACTTCCCCCATTCACATAAATTCCAACATCTGAGGTACACAGAAACTTGATTGAGCATTAGGTTTTAGGTAAAAGTGGTTAAAAGCATAAAAGTGGTTATTAAGAAAGTACAAAAATGCTGCAATAGTATTCTAAGGTAGCAAAAGAATTCTAGGCCAGACATAACCCTTAGTGGCAAAGTAGACCTGAACCAGGACAGGACTTTGACAAGGACTTTTATCTCTATATTTATAGAAAGAAACTAGGAGCTACTTTACAGACAAAAATAAAGGTTTGCTTTTCATGTCTCACCTGAAAGACTGGGAAAATATTTTCATAAGTTAAGAATTTATGGTGAGTGCTACTTTAGACTGACATTTAAATGCTATTTACAACACTTGGAAATCTAAGTTGCTAAAATTACACAGGACATAACACAGAGATGAAATGTTGATTTATATTTTTGCTGAAGTAACATTTGAATACTATAAATATTCAAATATTTATTCAAATATCAGGTAGATTTATAAGGGTGCTTTCTGCATCATCATAGCCATAGATAATTAAATCTACGTATGACTACTGAAGACATTCTAATCTAAAAGTACAGATTTAATCTAAGTCCAGCTATACTATATAGATCACCACAAGGAAATTTTGCAGTTCTATTATCTTATATCATCTTTCAGTTTTCCAAGACAGATATACCCTGGATCACAATTATTTGAAACTCTTGTAAACTTCTGATAAAAAGCTTTAACAGATACAAAGGTGAAAACTGAAAACTAAAGTGCAAACAAAATAATGTCTCTTAAGTAAACATTAATGTATGCTATGATACATCTTCTGATGGCTGATTCAAGGCTTTTAAAGCAAGTATGTTCTAGAATCTCTGACAAAGTCCCTGGCCACCCCATTTTTTTGGAATCTGGGGCCATACCAGGGGTGTTTGATTACTAATCCACTCTGGTATCTGAGGTGTTACCCCCACCCCATTTTCATCCCTGCCTCAGATTTGCTCAGGGGATCATGCAGTACTGGGAATGGAAGCTAAAACTCTTCCAAAACATGCATTCTACTCTTTGAGCCAACTCTGGCCTCCTTTTAGTTTCTTAGTTGGGGTTTCCCATGGAAGTGTATGGAGACCTGGGAAGCAATTTCCAGTGTGGTTCTGAGAATTTGGTGTTTCGGCTACAAGGGTTATCATGCATTGGTCTGAGGATCAAATGCAGGGCCTTGGATAGGCACTACACTCTTTGAGCTGTTCTTCAGTCCCCAAAACTTTAAAAATAGTGTGCCAGGGCAGAGATAGTGAAAAAAGGTTAAGGCACTTGCCAAGCATGTTGCTGTGTCTACAACCCTGGACTGAATCCTGGCCCTGTCTATAGTCCTCTGTGCAAAGCCAGGTGAGGTCCCCCCTCCCCCGCCAAAAGACTAGAATGACAATGGGATCATTCCAATTGCTATTTTCCTTTTATTTCTTTTTAGTAATATACACTAGTTAGAGAGTGGCAAGAGCCTGGAGACACACAATATACAAGTATTTGCATATGCACATGGCAAGTATTAATTACCTACTGTATATCTGGAACTTGCATATAAGAAGGTCTAGATATAGATACTGGGGTCCCCATAACAGATAAGGAGCTAAAGCCCACAGAAGTTAAGACACATGCTCAAAGGCACATCTCTGATTATAAAAGTTGATTTTCAATTCCATGCAGAAATAATATGTGTACTTCTGTCCTCTTGTTGTGATCTTCACACTACATTCCCTATCCATGAGAGATCTTAAAAAAAAGTCAGAATGAAGAAAATTCTTAATATGCAGGCACCCATGATTATATGAGTGAAACAAAAGTAGCTTAATGTGAAAAGTTTATCTGCACTGTCATTTGCAGAAATTTATTATCAAGGTGTGTTGGCTTTGTTTATTGACAATATAACTGAAAACTAGTAAAAAGCAATGCAAAATTAGAGAAGTCAAAACACTTTTAAAACTATGTGATCTATGATTATATTGCATTTAGTTTTCTAAGTTTATATAGTTTATATGCAAGATAAAATTACAAGAGTATGATCTGTGGTCTTTGGAATCAGATCTGGATTTCAAACTTGGTCATAATAACTGTCTGCAGCGTAAGAAAATTAGAAGGTTTAGGGAGGTTTCCCTAACGCTCAGTTTATCCATCAAATAAGTGTATCAAATTTATAGTGTTTAGATTAAAATAATACATATTAATAAGGCTTGGCAGAGTTGGTACACATTAAAAATGAGGCTGCTGTTATTACTGTAGTTCTCTAACTGATCTGGGCTTATCTGTCCAGATAAGCACCATGGCGACTCACTAGTCCTTCTTGGGCCAATCTTTAGGAATCCTCCAATAGCAAACAAAGGGCAATGTTTTTCTGTGGGTGGCACAATGAACTCACTTTATCTTAGTCTCAGTCTAATCTTACCTGCTGGTGTTTTAAGAGGATGTTTACGTCCAGCTTCTTTTGGGGGAAGGAAGGGGGAACAGAAATCAGAACAGAGATCTCTGCTCAGAGATCATTCTTGGTGGTGCTTCAGGACAATGTGTGGTGCCAGGGATTGAACCTGGGTTGACTCATTGCAAGGCTAAGGTGCTTTAACCTTTCGGAATCTCTGTCTCTCCGGGTCTACATCCGGCTTCTAACACTCACTGTAGGATCAATTCTTGGACAGCAGGGACTGTCTTTCCCTTCTCAGCAGCATTTCTTTCTGTTTTGGTTTTTGGGTCAAACCTGGCATGCTCAAAGGTTACTCCTGGTGGTGCTCATGGGGTGTGTGTATGGGGGGAGGGGCACACGGAATTCCAGAATCTATCCCAGGTCGGCCGTTATGCAAGGAAACACTCTCCTTGCTGTATTATCATTCTGGCCCTCAGTAGCTTTTCTAAGTATCAGGAGTCAAGATGTACTATGAGTGCTAAATAAGTTTCCTGAGTTAAAACCTCAATTCATTTAAAAGTGATTTTTATGTAGTGAGAATACAATCTTTTACACTGTATAATTTATAACTACTTTTAAGAAATTTGCTTTGATCATTACTCACAAAGAAATGGAGATAAAAAATGAGTTTAGTTTTACTTTATAAATGGAAAATCTTATGACCTTTTATTTTGGCTCAATGTGAGCATCAAAGTATAAGCTTCAGTCAGTTTACTTTCTTCTAAAAGATAAAATGTTCAGCTTTATACGTAAATTCTCTCTCTCACTCTGATGATTGTCTAGGCGAACAGATTCTTTTCTTCATGGTCTTTTTCCGTCTTCATGGACTAAATAAACACCACCCCCATGCATCTGTTTACTCATTGTTTATACTTTTTCATGAGTAATTTAAAAGACTTACTAGGTATTTATAAAATTTTCATAAGAAAGTATTTCCATAGTGCATTAAGATTATTGTTCACTATTCTCACCCCTAACTAGGTGCTTTGCATTTTAAATTTTATAATACTTAAGTAATCTTCATTACATCAATGCCTAAACTTAGTCACACAAAATTTATACATCACCTGTCTTAGGTTTTACTTCCATATCAAACTAACCCTTACTCCAACTCTTTTTGAATAGTCCATTGAGAACATAAACAAATGCGTGTCCACAACCTGGACTGCCTTAGTTCTGGTGTCTCACAACCATGTAAAATAAACAAAAATGGTAACAGTAACAATCTTACTATTGAACTTGTTGAGGAAATAAGGAAGATGTGTTAGGAGGAGGTGAATGCTGAATTAAAGCAATGCTTTATTCTGGAGTACAGAGAAAAGCACTCCAACTAGTAGACGCTCCTGAATTGTCTTAAAGCACGCTTCTCAGTCTGAGTCAAAGGGAGAACACTTGACTAGTGCGTCTCTTAACTGCAAATATCAATGCAGTGATGATAATAAAGAGTCAAGAAGGCTGAGCTCATAAAGGCTCTAAGGAACCAAAGCAAATACCAGATGTCAAACTATTACCAAGTACCATGATTAAAACTAAGTATCTGAGGAGGAGAAAGTGGGAACCTCCATTCAGAATTTCCAGGATCTCATAAAAACATGTATGAAGAACTACTTTAATAAGCAAAATCAAGATTTGTGGGTAACTTAGTAACATAAACTATATAATACCTATTTTATGCATGTGTGTGCATATGTATGTGTTTGTATACTATACACATGAAGTGTAAGAAAAATATTTTCAGACATAAATGAAAAGCAAGGATATTTAAGTGGCTTTTATTAAGTTAGTCAGTTTGATGACTTATAAAGAGCTCTCAAATCTTACTGATTACAAAGAACCTTTTATAAAAATAAATAAAAACTTCTGGGATAAAAATCAAGTTAAATCACACTGCTTATAATATTCAACACTGTAATGTTACATGAAAATAAACTGTGATGATTTTTTATGTCAGATGCAGTATGCTACACACAAAATTAATGGATTTCAGTTTATCTAAAAACAGATTAATAACAAAATCGACATTGTAATTAGTTCATATTCATTTTAAGTGATGTAAATGAATGTTATCACGGTTATTAACTTCAATAACAAAAAACCACTGATTTTTATAAAGTTATTTAAAACAGTACTAGTAAGAAATGGCTTGAATTTGGCACTGCCTAAATCAATCTACAAAACAGCAAAAAACAAAGGGCATCCAGAAATAGAAAATGAAAAATAAAAAAAAAACCCTTAGCAACCAAGATAGAAACCCTTTCAGAGTTTATTCATCTGCTTAGTAAATATTAAGAGTATTTCATAAGAATAAAAATCCAGTGAATATAAAATCCAGTGGAATGACAAGTTTAAAGATGTCAGAATCCTCCAAATATGTGAGCGCCTTAGATGATTCTAGAGGAGTAATCTCTCTTTGGGAAGTATTTAATCCTTTAATAAGTTAAACAACTGATAACTAATAATTCACTTTGGTTGACAATGATAGATTGTTGTATCACATAGCTGAAAACTTCCTTATTGAAGCATGTGTAAAAACCATATACAGTACACGAGTTATTCAATGTACTATCAGAACTTTTAAATTTAAATAATATATAGACATTTAAATTTTCTCTACTATTTAATTTCAAGTGCTAATAATCTCTATTATAATGTTAACTCAAAATTATTTTTGTAAAGGACAAAACATAGCTAATTACTGGTTTTATGCTCATTATTTCTAAATAACATTTACAAGAATTCAAATGTTAACACTTACCTGACCAGATTCTGTTCCAGTAATCGTCAAGTCTTGGATGGATCTACGTCTAGGCTGCCCGTTGCCTTTTAAAAAATAAAAAATGTGAAACAGTGAAACACAGTTTAATAGTCTATAAAAGGTGGCACGACTACAGTAGGAAGTTGGAATTTGTTGCTCCCTGCTTGTATACAAAATATTTGTGGGAAAAAGAGTGAGTTATTGTTAAAAAAAAAAAAAAGAGGGAGAGAGAGAAAGAGAGATGTAAGAAAAGGAAAGAAACAGCTGCAGCATTTTAACTCAAAAGTTGCTGGCCTACAACAAAATATGTCCTAATACAATAACCACTCCTATCACACAAATAGCTGCTGAACGCTCTTCCACCATCTTCTGTCATGTATTTAAATAGATGAATGCTTGGGGGCTGGGGTGATGACGGCATCTATTTCAAGGGCCTTACGTTACAGCTGCTACATCAAGACAGCTAACAGGTTGTGAGACATGACTGACCAACCAACAGCAACACCTTATTCTTTTCAGGGCCTAAAAGGATGCTAGGTTTTAATTTAAAAACCAAGTCACACTTAATCCCATTAAAATACTGTCAGAATTTGCTAATTTTATTTAATTATTGCTGATTTTATTTGAACAACTCTTGATAATCTACATCAGATGAATGCTTTTGCCAACAAATAGGTAACTTGTTGAAAGGAATTCCTGTTAATTCTCTTTCTCTTAGAAGCTTCTGTGTTGGTAGTATTTAAGGATTGTTTATGAAAAAACTCTACAAATGTAATGTTAGCAAAATGAATTAAATAACAACTTCAACTCAGCACTTCTATGTGGGAATAGAGAGGGTTGCTTATATACTATCTTCTAAGATGAGAGACCAGCTGTCTCAAGAGGAAACACCACAATACTATGAGTAACAGCTGACACAATACTCAAAATTCTTTTGGCTTTGAAGGCTAAATTATGTAATTTGTCAATTACTAGTCAGCATTCAGACTATGTACTCTAAATGGCTGTGGAATGATGAATAGAAAGAATTCATTCTTAAAAATTTCTATTTTCAGGGTCTGAGGTTGAATAGCAAAGTACATGCTCTGTATGCGTAAGTCCAGAATTTGATTCCTGGAAACATCAAAAACGCTTTTTTATATTTTCATAATGATTTTTTTTTTTTTTTTGCTTTTTGGGTCACACCCCGCAATGCTCAGGGGTTACTCCTGGCTTTGCACTCAGGAATCACTCCTGGCGGTGCTCGGGGAACCATATGGGATGCTGGGAATCGAACCTGGGTTGGCTGCATGCAAGGCAAACGCCCTACCCGCTGTGCTATTGCTCCAGCCCCATGCTGATTATTTTTTTTTAATTTTTTAAAAAATTTTTAATAGTGACATCATGAGGTACAGTTGCAGACTTACCATGCTGATTATTTTAAATCAATCAGCAACATAGTTTACTATCTAAAAACACATGCCCTCCATTATTTTCATGTAAACCACAAATAATTTACAACAGACAATATTTAATGCTGTAAATATAAAAATTCAAATTTATGACCATGCTTGAAAGTGTTGAATATTCATCTCCCTTTTTATCCATTTTAGGTTATGATTTTTAATTTCTGCATACTCAATACAAATTTTATTTTATTTCAAATTCCAACTTTCCACTACAAGTAAACTAATAGCAAACTAAGTACTACTGAATCAGGAACACTAAGATACTTTTGTGAATACTTTTAACTTTCTGGAGGACAAAAGAGCAGAGACCCACCAACCATGACTAGTAAGAATTTGAGGCACATTTCATTTAACACAATCAGTCTAAAATTAGGTTAGATGAGACAGACTTGTAAAGTGTTTGGAATCCTCTTTTCAGATTAGCAACATTTGTGAATCCAGGGAACCATCCAGTACATGTGTCTAGAAATCATGACATCACCATTGCAATAACAACAACAAAAAATTCAAATCTAGGTGGTGTAGGAGGGAAAAAGAGTAAAACCTTAAGGAATCAAAGAAGAACTGACAGTTAACAAATGCCATAAAATGAGAAGAAATATTCTAGCTACAGCATGAGTTAAAGCAAGCAGTATTAAGCAATGCATTATAATTAGCATAACCATCACAGAAACCATCTGGCAAACAGTTCAGACAAAGCCAAAAAAGGACTGCAATCAACAAATACTTGTTGCTCCAATATTAAGTTTTAGTCATCATTTAGAAATATGAATGTAAAAATACATCAAACTCCTGTTATTGCAAATGATAATTACTGGGTGTGTTCTCAGTAAATTTAGATTGATTCTGAATTTTTCCTGCAACTGAATGCTAATTTTGAAACTCATTTATTTTACATTTTTATGGTTTTTTGGTATGTACATACCTATATTACACATGATAGCATAAAAAACAACAATAACAAAAAGGCAATATGTCTAATGATGTCTGATCAAAAAATTTGAAACCTGCAAATGGTGTTCTGAATATTTTATTCTGTAATAAACTCTGCAAGTTTTATTATTATAACAGAACTGTAATGTATAAAAAACTTTAAAAATAGCAATAAAAGCAGTAACAGCAATAAATATCACATCACAAAAAAAAAGGATGTATACAGTTGTTTATTAATGTCAGAAGGACAAAGTGCCTCTTCAAAAATACTCTTAGTAGAGCTTCCTTCAGTCATTTTAAACAACTGGATTTCAAAAATAGGTTAGAAACTTATCAGTAATAACTGCTTCCTCTTGGTAGTAAAAAAAAATATACATATCATACCCCAAATGGCCTTTCAGAAAACCAGGTCTTCGACTGCCAAAACTTGGCAGCAGGTGTTTAGGCATCTGCCTTTCATGTAACCAACTCCAGTACAATCCCCAGCATTGCATATGGTTCCTCAAGCACCATGAGTAATGATCCCTGAGCAGCCAGGAATAAGTCCTGAACACAGCCAGGTGTGACATCAGCGTCCCCCCCCCCCCCCATAACTAAAGAATACTTGTTAAAAAAACAAAAACAAAGAAAACATGTGCTGCTGGAAAAAAGGTCCCGGAGAGAATTGCTGACATGGCGTTATCAAAAACTTCCAGTTTGTGAAAAGCAGTTATCTCTAGAGCAGTTAAAAGAGATATACTGTAAATTGTGCTCTTTAACTGTGTTTTGACTGATAAGAACAAGCCAGACTACCTAGTTAACTCTTTAAGAGCCAGTGGACAGGGAAAGGAGAAGGGAGGGACATCTTCATACCAAAATGGGACTACTCTTTTGTGTCAGGGTTAAACATAGAAGATAATTGTGTAGTTGAAAACATAGGAAAACCAGGGCTAATTTAGGGTTAATTTTTAATGACTCAAGAGAATATTAAACTGATGAATATTGTTGGCCATACATAGAATCCTTGCTTTTATTCATCTGAATAATGGGATAGTGTACAATAGTGCTGAAGAGCAAAAATGAAACAAGATTTGAATTTGGCAACCAAGGAGTAAGTTAGGCATTTTAGTCATTATAAAGACTTCTTAAAGTTCCTTAAAGTAACAGCATATATTTTGTGTGCTTTAAAATTTGCTACACCTTAAAAAAGGTTAATGGTTTATATGTGTACATAGCCAGTAAGTATATAGAATATTTTTGGATACTAAAGTGCTCAGTATATTATTACTGGTGAAAGTGTCATTAAAATTGGTTATTCTCAACATATCTTGGAAAATATTTGCAACTGGGATCAACTGCTAATGATACCAGTTTGGTTTAGAAATACTGCTTGGTATTTACAGACTTTTAGAATTCCACTTTGAAAAAAAATTCTAGAATGTACTAAATTGTTATCCTTTGTAATTAAGATGGCCACATACAACATGAGATATTCCCAGAAATATTTAATTTGACATAGCAAGTCATCAGTTATCTATTGTCTGTGTTCTTTTTGATTTCTGTTGCAATCTTTTATTAGAACAAGATTGATTAAGTTACTATTTGGACATCTAGAAGCAAAACAATCTAACAAGAACACTTTATAAATTACTGAGTACTATTTACGTTTGAGCAATGTTGCTCAGGCATTTAGGTGCAAAATGAGAGTTCACTGACACCATATGTACTTAAAATTGTAAAAGAGCATATCCGCTTAAAGAGCTCTCCTAACGGGAGCATTGAGAAATGAGGAAGAATTATCCTCACTTCTCTGACTCAAACAGAAGAGGAGGAAACAGATTTGATTTGGAGTCAGAAGAACTGGGATGTGGCTGGGATGTGGCTCAGTGATAAAGTGCTTGCTGATAACCTAGCTTACTTATAAAGGCCAAACAGGATGATACAATTTAAACTACTTTGTAAGCCACACACACAAAAAACAAAACAAACAAACAACCCCCCCCCCCAAAAAAAAACACCTAATCAGTTTCTCAATATCTGCACTGTTGATATTTGGGGTTGGTTATGGGATACAGTAGGAACATTGTGGCAAGTCTGGCATCATCCCTGACTATAGCCACTGCAGGCTAATGGTGCCTGGTGATAGTAACAACCAAAAATGATTCCAAATGTTTGGGCATGGAGGGGGGGGGGGGGCGGCATAAATCCATGCTGTTGAGAACCAATTATCCTTTTCCCTCTTCTCTCTCCCTCGCTCTTCTACTGTACTGATTTTATGACACTGAGTATGTGCCTTCTTTATTCTTAGCCATCAGAACAAGATTGAGACCATGCAGGTATTTGCTAAATTTTCTTGACTCCCTTAAGTATTTAAGGTAGTAACAGTTTAATAGTATGTACCTTTACTTTGTTCCTTATGGCCACACTGAGAGGTGTTCAGGGTTTGTTCCTGGTTCTAAATTCAGAGATCACTCCTGGTAGTGCTTGGGGGAATGAACATATGGGGGTGGTGACAGGGATCAGACCCAGGTCAGCTGCATGTAAGGCAAGCAACCTATTATTTGTTGTACTCTTTTTGGCCCTCAACACTATAAATTTAATGTTGCCACTTCTTTAGTCAAATTGTTCCTTTAAACACTGTACCATTCAACCTTAATGGTAGAATGATCTCAGACTTTTAAAAATTCCAGTAATTGCTATGATTCAATAAAATAAATTATTATGTGAGAAATAGAGCAACTGTACCGAGTAGCAACAATGACAATGCCATAAAGTAAACTACTCCGATGAGTGACAAAAATTACTAATATAAAATAAATTGATCTATACAACAGATCCTAAGACAAGTATAGTGTATATTTTTTATTTTATTTTCTGGTTAGTACACCTCAACAGTTTATTCACTTAATATAAGGAAGATTTATTAAATACTATTTGTAAAGCACTCAAAGACTGCTGATAAAATCCTTATTAACAAAAATATATTTGGTCTTTATCTGCAGTTTTCATTTTACTAAGAGAAACATTAGGTATTTAACTACAAACAATATTCTGCCAAAAAGCACAACCATACACAGAATATAGAGTGCTGAAGAAGACACAAATCACATCAACTAATTTATGTGGGAAAAATGGTGTACTTCCATGTCAAAATTTGGGAGAAAGGAATGATCATTTTGATAAATATCTGAAGGTCACATATGACATTCAGTTCTGATCAAATAATGGTAATTTAGAGTCACCTATGAAATGATCACCATAAAAAATAAAAGCAATTTACCAATTTGAGATACTAAATACTTAGTGTGAGGTATAAAAAGATACTTATATTTACAGAAAATCTCATATTTATAGAAGAATCAGAATTGACTATGATTTCTTTTTGTTTCTTTTTCTTTTTTTTTTGTTGCTTTTTGGGTCACACCAAGCGATGCACAGGAGTTACTCCTGGTTCATGCACTCAGGAATTACTCCTGGCGGTGCTCGGGGGACCATATGGGATGCTGGGAATCGAACCTAGGTCAGCTGGGTACAAGGCCCTACCCGCTGTGCTATTGCTCCAGCCCCGACTATGATTTCTTGACAAGATACCATGCAAAACAGCAAATATTGAATATTACCAGTTTCACTTTGTTCTGTTTTCTAGGTGAAGCCAAGTGTATTAAGCAACTCTTTTCTCAGGTTTGTATTTTACTTGCTACCAACAGAAAGAGTCTGGGGCTGAAAGCCTAGACAGAAACCAGAAAGTATTAACAAGGAAGGAAAAGAACCAAAGACAACATATAGTTTTAGTTTTAAATAGTGTTTCCTCTTTCTGTTGGGTAGGAAAAAAATCTGTATCCTGCTCACTTAAAGATGAGAGGAGGTTCTATCAGATTTCTGAGATGATGTTTGTTTTGTGGAAAGGTTTATTTTGCGTCCTACTTTATTTTCATTGGAGACCTGAAACGTAAACTGTCTCCCATGTTACTGCATGCAAGGTATCTATTTTCACATCCTAAAAAATTGGAGCAAGAAGCATTTTGCAAGTACCAGGGATCATTACTCCGGTTCCGCAGCTACTAGACCAACTCAGGTGGTCTATGATACCTGATATGACGATCTCAGGGACATCCAGAATGTTGCCAAATGAAGCGGTTTTACGGTGGCCCCGTTTAGGCTTGGAATAGGCTGCAAAAACACATATATACAGTATACATGCAAACAACCACAAATAGTAACACAGAAAACGATTATGAAAACAGAATAATTTTCAAATAGTTATGTTAATAACACTTCATGCAGACTGACATGCAGAACAATCTAACTTTTCATCCATGCTTGGGAAAGGCATGATTAAAGAGCAAACTACCAACACACAATGTTTCACATACTGGCTTTAATTAGCAGGAAAGAAAATCGGACAGACACACACAAAGCTGCAGAGTGATGAAGAAAGTAAAGTTCAAACATCTTCGTAGAAACAATCTTTGTAAGTGTAACCAGTGATGTACAATGAGGTGGTAAAAGTGGGAAGAATGATGAGTTAATAAGAAATAAGCTGCCATGACTTTTAAAAATTACACATAGTGTAACGTGTTCAAATTAGATGTTTCCTGAAGTGTGCTATAAAGTAAAATTCATCGATTAATAATTACTGAATCAAAATATGCAATGCATACAATTACATTTATACACAGTTCCAGCAGACTTTATTTACTATAATTTCCAAAGCTTAGGATACATTCTGTTAACCGTGAATAGTACTGAACATGCAGAATATGAACCTTTAAAAGTGAGACAGTTCACTAAATATGTGAATTGTGTAGAGTTCAAAAGGTGTTCAAAAACCTTTGTCCTACACATGTAAACATAAAAACAGGATAATTTAATGTGTGTGGTTTCTTTAATCTAAGGAAATATTTTATAATCAATCATGGATCACTACTTGATTGAAAAATCAATACTAGCAAAGACAAAATTATACTGCTTTCTGGTTTAGAGGAGCAGTCAGTGTTTGGCAGGATTATTCTGAATAATATCCCTGAATTTAAAAGGGTAAAGGACTGTCCTTTATGTACTACTCCTTTGAAACTTCATTGAGATACCCTCAGTGCACAGAACATGAAAGACCACTATTAAGAAGAGCTTGAGAGTAGGCAACAATTTAAATTAATCAATCCTAAAAATCTATGTGGCAGAGACTGCTAGAACCCTGCCAATCTTGATTCTTCCTCTTATGTGGAAGAGCAATCCTCCTAGATGAAAAGACAAGAGATCCTTCCTCATCTTAAGAGTCATATGACCATAATACTACTATGGTAAATGACATCAAAGCAGTTGTTGTTAGGAGTGACATCTTAGAGAGCTCTTCACAATAGCCTGAATAAATATATCCTAATTCTTCCCTTTGGCTGCCTAACTGTGATGACGAAGAGTTATAAAAACCAAGTTGGAGGATACCTCTAAGCCTCCAGATCTGCTTGAGTAAAGAATAAAGTTATAAACTGGGATCTTGTTGTATTTAACTGATTCTAATGACAACTGATAAAAATCAGTGATTATGACTAGTTGGAACCAAGAACAGTATGAAGTTCTATCCTTTGGACAACGTCTTCCTGAAAAGAACTTCACAGAAAGGAGAATGTTCTATTTAGGAGAAAACACAAATAACAACAAAGTGTCTTTAAGACAATTGGTTAGCTAAGTTAAAAAAATATAAACGCAAATACACAAGTGTACACACACATAATTACAGACCACACAAACATGTTAACTGGGTTATCTCTGAGTGGGGCAATTATAGGACACTTTTTCAGAGGTTTATTTATATTCCCAATTTTTATACACAGAAACACATTTATTTTTATAATCAGCTCCCTCCATTTCTGGAGAAACTATAAAAAAATTAAACTAGCATTATAGGTAAGGTAAGGTAAAGGCCCTCCCGTTGATCGTCGATTTGCTCGAGCGGGCCCAGTAACGTCTCCATTGGAGACTTTGTTGTTACTGTGTCTGGCATATCGAATACTCTCAGTAGCTTGCAGGGCTCTCCGAGAGGGGCGGAGGAATCGAACTCGGGTCGGCCATGTTGGCCACTTGTAAGGCGAACGCCCTACCGCTGTGCTATCGCTCCATTATAGCAATAAAATCTAGTTAGGAAAGGTTGTCACTTTGCTCAAGTAACAAAGCACGCACCTCTTTTGTGCCAATCAGTTCCTACATAATGAATCACTCAATGAAGTGACATACTGCATTTAAAAGTTAGCCTTTTCCAAGAAGGAATAACATACCCATGCTCTTTCATCTTACATTTTAAATAATTAACTACAATCAACTCAGTTACTTCTACTCTTGAAAGGGAGAAATAAGTAAGGTCTAATCATATTTGGGTCTAAACACTTTTTGCTAACCTCAAAATATTTGCTAATATTTGAGTCTAGCAAAAGATTCTAGGAGAGTCACTCAAAATCCTCCAAAACATTCCAGGTTTGCCTAATTTTAATTTCTCACTTGGATTTCCAGTTCTTGCTTAATAAAATTCTATTTGATTAGATCTGTAATTTGGAAAGTATATTTTCTGACCTAAATAATTTTTCATGTTTTCTCTTTGGACCAAACCTGGTAGAACTCATGAGACATGTGGTACCAGAGATCAATTCCGAAGCTCCTGCATGTAACACATGTGTTCCAGTCCTTTGAGCTATCTACTGCTCTGGTCCCAATCCAAAAACTTTTATGACATATTTTCCTTATATGGCATTTGAAACTTATCAATTCTTAAAAGCATGAAAAATATGTCTTAAGTCTACTTTGCCCCTTAAAAAATTTTAATACAGAGGGGATAAAGAAAACAGGGGTTAAGGAACTTGCCTTATATGTGGCTGACCCCAGTTCAATCCCTGCACGGCAGAAGCTCCCAGGGCAATCCTAAACTAGGAGTAAGCCCTGAGTACTGCCAAGCCTCGCAACAAAATTACAACAAAAACAAAACCCCAAATCCTGATATTACCATTTTCAGTTTCTTAGATTTTTAGTTCCTCTTTACCTGCCGTTGCAGCGATCCTGGCTTCTATTTCAGACATGTCAGCACTCATCCTCTTGCCCTCGGAGGTTGGGGGCAAGCTCTCTATGCTGCTCCCACGGGAAGCTCCCAAGCTTAAACGTCCAGATTCACTCTGTTAAGATTACAGGTCAATTTGAATTACTGAATTTCTTGAGATCAAAAATCCTGAGCAGCTTAGGAGGGATATACCAACTGGGATTCTTATTGATTCTGTTCTAGGCTGCATGAGGGAACTTTCATATAGAGGGAGCTGCAAGGGGGAAGGTAGAGCAAGTTTCAGATTTTTACTTTAGGGAATGGTTTATTACTGGAGTTAGGAGTTGTATGTCCAAATTAATAGTGATTTTTATTAACTCTGGCCAAGTGAATGAAACACTCCACAGGATACTTTTAAACCAATAACAGAGAAAATATAATAAACTGAACTGCATAAAATAACATATTTAGGAAAAGCCCTTCAACTGGGTAGTGTGGTTAAAAAAACACCCACTTTGCATAATTTTAACATCAAAGACAACAATCATTGGAAGAGAAAACAATCTAGTATCAAAGGCAAGAGACATCTTATTGTATTTATTAAAATTTTTCTGTATGCTTCAGGGAGAAGACTCAAAATGTGTATATAAAAGAGTAATAATTTCAGTTATTAATATTATGAGCACTAATGAGACACGACTTTTCATTTAAATAACAAAACAAACCTGTTGCTTTGCCTGGTTTTTCAATAATTTTGATTCCAAGCGTTTGATAGTATCATTTGTTGCTGGAACTTGTTCCATATTAGTGTCACTTTTATTACTGGTATTTGTAGACGTGATGTCCATGAATGAACCTAGAAAGTAAAAATATTTATGACTATAAACTGAGAATTCATCCAAAAACATGCAACTTAAACATTTTTATAATCTAGCAAGACTAGAATAGATATGATTTTTAAGATTAACATATTCCAATGAATTCATTTTAAATTAAAGAGTTCCCTTCACCTTCCCCCAAGAAACCAAAACATCTAAGTACTCTTCTAAGAGTCAAAAATGATTATTTCTTAGGATACATTATACAAAAGTACAGTGAGAGAGTAATAAACTGTGTCAAAGGCTACTGAGAGCAAGAACAGAGAACTTTTATTAATATTTGTTCATACATATGTATTTAGTAAAGAGGAGGTCTTGGTGACCTCGATAGAGCAATTCTGGACTGGGAAAATACGTCAAAAAACTGGAGCACTTGCTTTGCTTGTCAAAGGCCCTGAGTTGACAAGCACACAATCCAGCAGCACACAACCCTCAAGTACCAGGTTGTATCCTGGTGGCTCATAACACCCCTGGGGAAGTCATGTCCTGTGTGTCAACCACCCCTACCTCCCCACACTCCCTCCCACCCCTCTCTCTCTTTAAAGTAGAGCAATTCTGGAGTTGTGGTAAAAGTCACAAGAGAATGGGATGAGAAAAGCTAAAGAATGCAGATATTGACTACACATGTTCTGGGAATGATGCCAAAAGTGAGAAGCTAGGATAAAATTAATGATTCAAGGGGTCAGAGAGATAGTATAGCAGGTAAAACATTTGCCTTTCATACAGCTAACCTGAATCTGATCTCCAACACCCCACAAAGTCCTACAAAACCTGCCAAGAATGACCCCTGACTGCACAGCCAGGAGGAGTAAGCCCTGAGCACTGCAGGGTGTACCCCAAACCAAAATAAAACAAAAATTAACTTGATGCTTCAAGAGATAGAGAGAAAACTGCTGAGACCAGTAGAGCGTGAGAGGATGAGGGAAGAATCTAAGAACTCAGGGCGAATGAAAAGGCAGCAAAAATGAAACAACAGAGGTCACAGTATGAAGAGCGATTTTAGAGGTGATTAGGAGAAGCAAGTAAATAAAATTTAACAGAAATGTACTTTAAAATTTAAATTTCTAAATTTCAGAGAAAGTCTTTAAATTTTTAAGTTTGAAATTGGGACCACATAGCCGAACACTAAAACAGCTAACAATATAGTTATTTTTAAGTACAGAGTAAATGTATATACACACATATACCTTTTCAATTCCTTAGAATAAAATCCAATGTATTTTTAAGAAGTATACTTTTTTCTAAGTATTATTTCTATAATCTTTTTTACTGGTGGAAATTACAAATCTCATTATCACTTAATTCCAAAACTGAGAACTTTGATAGCTACTTAAGTAAGACTCTGTGGATTTTTCTATAACCCCCCACCCCCAACAGGGTATTCATGGTAAGTTTATGAAATACATCTATAGCACTGTAGCACTATCCTCCCGTTGTTCATGATTTGCTCGAGCAGGCACCAGTAACGTCTCCATTGTGAGACTTCTTGTTACTGTTTTTGGCATATCGAATATGCCATGGGAAGCATGCCAGGCTCTGCGATGCGGGCAGGATACTCTTGGTAGCTTGTTGGGCTCTCCGAGGGATGGAGGAATAGAACCCAGGTCGGCCATGTGCAAGGCAAACACCCTACCCGCTGTGCTATCGCTCCAGTGACATAAAAAACATATATAATGCAATAATTTTGAATAAATTTAGATCAAGCATTATCTGTGTAAAATTATTTTTCAAATAAAGAATGACACTCTTACTATATACAATATTTTAATATCCAACAATGCAAAAATTCAAAGACCTAGAAGCACGTCATCACTAACTCTCTAATCTTGAGTATCTTCATGAAGCCTGATGCACCTGGAAACTAAAATTGCAGTCAATCATATGAAATGAAGAAATTAAAATGCAAACGAGGTTATCATTCATTGCTTCTTGATTGCAATTTCATAGGACTGGAGAGAACGACAACAACAAAATAAAAATCTCCCGAACTATCTATTTACCTGTACTGGTGGCAGAGTTGCTCTGGCCTTCATCTGAAAACTGACAAGGATATTGTAATGGCTCATCTGCTCCTGGAAAGTACTATATATATATAAAAAGAAAAATTATAATTTAAAATTTATTTGATACACAAAAATTATGTGAAAACTCACTTGCACAGAACATTAGAATTATTTCCTTGTGGTGCAAAACTGCTGCTTTATTTTCCCTAAGGGATACTATATTAATCATTTTAAAAATTTTACGCAGATGACAATAATGTGCTCTCTTCAAAATTTCAACAATGACCAATGAATGTCCTGCAATTACAATATCGATTTTACACAGGGCTGGGAGAGTTTTGAAGGCAACAGCAAATATTTATCTACAGAATGTGGATGAAATGGTATAATACATTATCATTACATGAAACTTACTTATGTTCTCATAGCAGTGGTGTCAATTTCTATATTGCTGAAATAATGATTTGGAAAAACTAGATGTCTCTGAGACAACATCAGCTCTGATATTTTGAATATTAAGAGGATTGGCATGGCTTTTCCTCTGACTTTGGAGACATAGTTTTGAAAATAACTGCCAAAGAAAGTAGCACTGTAGCACTGTTCTCCCGTTGTTCATCGATTTGCTCAAGTGGGCCCAGTAATGTTTCCATTATGAGATTTATCGTTACTGTGTTTGGCATATCCGATATGTCCCAGGGAGCTTGCCAGGTTTTGCCATGCAGGCAAGATACTCTCAGTAGCTTGCCAGGCTTTCTGAGAGGGGAGGAGGAATCGAACCTGGGTCGCCCTGGTGGCTGGCGTGCAATGCAAACGCCCTACCTGCTGTGCTATCGGCTGGACAAAGAAAGTAAGGAAGGAAAAATAAAAAAGAGCTGCTTTTCTCAAATTAGAGCACATTATAGCACAATTATAATTTGAACAACTATCACCTGACACACAGTTGTTTTTTTTTTTTTCAGGATTCTATAATAACTGGTACCCAAACTTTGCTGGCAAGCTTTAGCCAGATTCATTTAAGATGTTTAGCATAAGCTATTCTGAATAGAATGAATAACTAAGTCTTTGGCTATCTCGGAAATTATTTAGTCTATATCTAAGAAATTTAAAGATTTTTCTAGTGAGTAAATGATTTTGAAATTTAGGTACCTTCCTATATAAAAGGTATTCCTATATAGAAGGTATTAATTGATATAGTCTGTAGTTTGGTAAAAATTAGAAGCCCCAAATTTATCATATGATTCTAAAAGTGTTTGACTTATTTTAATAATCATTTAAAAAGGGTTCTTCTACTTTTAAAAAACCTTAAGTCCTAGGACAAAGTCCTAACTGTTTAACTGGCAAATTAAAAGGTTAACATATGCAAGGGAAAAGTAAAGGATAAAAAACATTTAAATGTGCTCAAGAATACAACTTCTCTATTACCCTACATACATGAAAAAAAAAATTAGCAAGTATTACAGTTACATTAGAGATGACAATTTAACTTTTACCATACTGACCACGAGGCATTAAGCCAGGAAATAAACACACGTGTCCACTAAGTTAAGGATATTGGCCGGGGGTGGGGGTGGTGGTGGTGGTGGTGGATTCCCATTTTAGAGAACCAGATTTTTCTTTTAAAAATGTTTTTCTCTGATCATGAGTTATAAACACCATTCTAATTCAGAAAACACCAAAAAGTTCTAAGTAGAAGAAATAGGAAAATAACCCTATTGCTTTGATACCTCATTAAAACATAATCTAAAACAAATTCCCATTAATCCCAAACCCCTCAAAAGAAGGATTATACCCGCATCAAGTGAGTCATTATTTTCACAATTTCCTCCATTGAAGGACGCTGAGAAGGATCTTTAGACCAACAACGAGTCATCAGGCTCTCGATGGGTTTAGGTAGATTTCTGATCAATGGTGGTCGAGTACCTATAATTGGAATTAGAGAGGGAGGGCAGAATATATTTATCTAAAGATGGTGTATATGTTTTGTTTGGTTTTGATTTCTGGGCCACACCTAGAGTGCTGGTAGTACTGGTAAAACCATGTGATGCCAGGGTTAAAAGAAAGTATATGAATTCCAGCTCTTTGAGCCATCTAAATGGTTCCACAAATTTGTGTTCTTCTTTGAACGGACGTATTTCCAAAAATGGATCTATTTTATAAATCTTGTAATTTAAGATTTTGAAGAGCAAATCTTGTCTTTTATGACATCATCTATGATGTTAACTAAGTATATTACCTTCCCATAAAGAGAAGACTATAAATACTTTCATTTTATTGATTTTTTATTTACAAGTGAAATTTGCAAAATTTGCAAGTGCAAATTTTCTTTGGCTCTGAATTCGTCTCATCCATTCTGTATTACTTTTTCTTTCTTTTTTGAATCACTGTGAGATACAGTTACAAAGCTTTCATGTTTGAGTTTCAGCCATAAAATGATCAAACTCCCATCCCTCCACCAGTGCACGTTTTTCACCACCAATGCCCTCAGTATCCATCCCCTTCCCAACCCTCCCCCTGCCTCTATGGCAGACAATTTCCCCCCCATACCCTGTCTCTACTTTGGGGGATTATGGTTTGCAATATAGATACTGACAGACATTTAGTTCTTTATCTACTTTCAGGACACATCTCCCATCCCAAACAATCCCTCCAACCATCATTGACTTAGTGATCCCTTCTCTATCCCAGCTACCTTCTCCCCCAGCTCACAAGGCAGGCTTCCAACTATGGTGCAATATTCCTGGCCCTTTTGTCTACTGTTCTTGGATGTCAGTCCCATATTATGTTATTTTATATTCCACAAATAAGCGCAGTCATTCTATGTCTGTCCCTCTCTTTCTGACTCATTTCACTTGGCATGATACTGTCTATGACCATCCACATATAAGCAAATTTCATGACTTCATCTTTCCTAACTGCTGCATAGTATTCCATTGTGTAGATGTACCAAAGTTTCTTTAACCAGTCGTCTGTTCTTGGGCATTTGGGCTATTAAATATTAACTTACAATTCTAATTGTAGTATGGTGACAGGCTGAGATTAATTCATTTGCTGTATCATTTTAACAATAACGGCTTACTGGTTGTCTTATGAAGAAGAATGTGAGTGATGGGACTTCACAGCCTCTGCCATGTAATCTCATAGGCCCAGCTTTCCAGATTCTTGACTAATCTCTCAGTTACACTGTTCTTCCAGCTGAAAACTCTGGAATGCTCTTGGGAGGTGGGTGGGCAGAGACCCTGGCCTGCAGCAGTCCCAGCAGCTGCACCCACAGCCCACAGCTGCAATCATGCCAACAGCCCATCTCTACTGCTTCATGACGAATGTCTGTAGATACCAGACTGATGAAAATCACAGGCACACCAGTTTTCAGGTTGCAAACTTTGGGTTTTTTTTTTTAGTAGAGTCAGGCAGCCTCCCAGCAAACCCCCATACTTCCAGAAGCCCCAGCAACCACACCCATATCACACAGCCACTGCCATGCAAACTCATCGGCCCAATTCTACAGATTGTTGAGTTCCTGGAGTACAACACCTCCAAATTCCAGAATAATGTCATCTCAATAGGAGCATACCAGATTAGATGGGAAAGTAACATAGAGGCCAACTATACTCAGTAAATGAAATTAATAAGAGAGAAGGCTCAACGAGCAACTAACAGCTCAGTTAACTCTCAGACAAGGACTTAGTGATCCCATGGTGAGATTTAACAATTTTCACAATTTTTCTTTCATTGAAGTATTTTTTGATAATGTATGTCATTAGCCATTTCATTATGGTAAGCAATATAAACTGCTAAAGGGTGCAGGCTGGGGGGGGGGGGGGGGCGTTAATACCTTTTCCAAGTTGAGCTGTCCTAGGGCAAAACAGATGAAGCAGATAAGCCCCTGCCCTCTAGGAATGCACAGACGACCCCTTCTCCATTTTAAGAATGGGGGGAAAGGAGATGCCCAAGAAAGTCAAGAATCCAGCTCCTTCCGCACCAATCAGCTTTTTATGCGCCTTCCTTCTCCCACCTCTTCTGAATAGTGTCTGTTTCTTTAATTCTGTCTCATAATGAAAAAATGAGTGATTGGGTCCATCCAGCAAATTCAGAATTTTCTCTATTATTGTTGTTATTCTTGTTATTTTGGGGCCACACCGGGCAGTACTCAGGCGAATCCAATTGGAAACAACGGTGGAAGAAAGGGTACACCGATACTGGGTTTGGTACTGAAACACTGAATGCCCGTAATAACTGCATTATAAACAACTTTGCAAATCATGGAGTTAAAATACAGTTTAAAAAAAAAAGAAAGAATAAATAAATGAATGCCCAGAAATGCCTTCTGAACTATGTGGTGCCAGGTACTACGCTTAAAACATGCACTAAGACCACTTGAAATTACTCTCTAGTCCCTGATATCTTATTTGTTTTTATTTTTGGTTTTAGGGGCATGTTTAGCTGTACTTAGGGCTTACTCCTGTCTCGTGCTCAGGGATCATTCTTGGCGGTATTCAGGGGACTAATACCGTGCCTGGAGTCAAAATAGGGTTGGCCAAGTACTATCTTTCTGGCCCCAAGGTTCCCAATATCTTTCCTGAACGGTACTTATGGTTAATTTCAAAATTTTCTCAAAATGTCTTGAGAAATCAGCTTTCATTAAAAAAAAAAATGTTATCTGTGGTATATTCACTGACTTCCAAATGAGTCTTATGAGAAGCAGATCTTTGGTATTTGTGAACCAAACATGCACGACCTGAGAACTGTCAGCTTTATGCAATTACCCAGATGGTGACATTAGTAGGAAGGTTCCTAATTTCAAGAGGAGTTAATATTAGGGATAAATACAATTTTTTTCAAATAGAAAACACACAAAATGTATGAAAAACTTTCACGAACCATTATGAACGGCCCACATGATACGGAAGGCTGGGCCACCAATCTCATCAAAGGGTTTCCGTCGTGTTATTACTTCCCAAAGGATAATACCCCAGCTGAAGACATCACATTTTTCACTATAATTGCTACCTAAAGAAAAAGAGGCACAATGTTAAGAATTATACTCCCATATGATTTATAGAAACAGCTTTATAAATTTTAAGAAAAATTATCTTGTATAAAATATATGTAGCTGGATAATTACTATCTCTAAAGTACCATTAAGTTTTTAAGTATAATTTCTAAAAAATGCAGTGTTAATTATGTACTAAAAATCTATTTTAGAAAGTTGGTCTTTGGGCTACTCTTAATGGTGCTCAGTAGTTACTCCAAAGCTCAGTGCTCTAAATTGTTTCTGGTATTAAGGGGGAACCAGAGTGCCAGGAATCAAGGAACCTAAGCTTCCTGCACGTAAAGCATTTGCTCTGGCTGTTGAGCTAACTCTGCAGCCCATTAGCTGGTCATTTTTTACCTTTTCAAGACTTTCTATGTGGGGAGAATATCAAACACTAGTACATTTCTTTCTGTAATTTCTTTTCCCCTCCTCATTTTCTTGATGGATAGCACTACTCTATCAAAGCACAAGAAATTTCTGATTTAGTATAAAGATTTTTCAGTATCTGGTGAGATGAAATTCTTAATTTGCAAACTTAAAAATAAGCTGTAAGCAATAAAAATTATGGGGAACAAATTTATAGCATATAGATGAAACAGTAAGATTTATGATTAGTAAAATAGCAGGTAGTAGGGACAATAAATATACACTCTCCTGAAATAACCCTCTATAAGAATGAACAATTACTATAGTGTCTGATACTGATGTATTATTAATAAGTGTACTAAAAGTCCATTCAGCAGTGCTTTATAATGTAGCATTATAATGACCTTTACATCTAAATTGGACTACAGGTGCTGATATTTGGGATGCTACCTAATTGTGAAAGCCTTGTTATGAATAAGTAACAGTAACTCTTATTTCTGGATTCTTTTATATAAAAAAATCTTTTACTCTCTCCATACTATAGTAATACTGTCATTTCAACTCACAGAAAGGTATAGAAATAATTTTAAAACAATGTCACTATATATGTTCTATGAACTTGAAAACATTTTCCAATTTTGTATAATTTAACACTCACTTGTCCACTAACTTTAAAAATAAATTTTATTGCAAAAAGCTCCATTCAAGTGACCAGATGCATAGAAAATTTCTCTCTCTGAGGTAGCTAAAAGCAAAGAAACAAAAATTTTTTAATTCATCAAAAATAAAAGAAATTGCTATAACCAGAATCTGATTATTGAATACATCCGAATTTTATGGGCATTCTTACTAATATATAATATATATATGTATCATATCTTCAATTTTTCTCATTTCAAAAATAACTTGGTTCATTTACATAAATGTCTAGTATGAAAATTTGTATTTTTTAGAACATCAGACATATGGAAGTGGAAAAGAAAGTAAATATCATTTATTTGTTCTTCTTAGCAACAAACTTCTGCCCAATCACTTGCATTTATACTAATGCACACTCATTTAAATGTTATACTATCAATTTTCATTACTGGGAAACCAATAAAAAAAGCACAACTGATTCTTGTTATTCCTGGCAGTTAATCTCTAATTTTGTGAATGCTGAATTGTGAATACTGAATCATCTGCTCCTAGCAGAAATTCACAGCGAGTCTGCCTTGAGTATCTTCTCAACATTTTTGTCAACTGACCAATACTCTTAATTTATGCATTTCTGTGTAAAACATATTGGCTCATTAATATTAAACTCCTGGGCAACTGTAACTTATACCTCAATGAACATTAGGTAGCATATATTTTCTCTAAGGAACATCGTTAAGTCTTCTTATTCTTAGCAATACTTTGTAGAAGGCACTTCAATACTATATTTGAAAGTAATTTAAACCAATGAAATAGCCAACAAAAATGTGAAAAATGTAGAATTAAACGATGTCAAAAGTACATTATAGGAGAGCTCAAATAAGAATTCGAACACTAGGACATGTATGGTGGCTAATTCAAATGTCGTTGTGTTCCCCTCCTACTCTGCCCCTCAATCTGTATAAATGCCTGCAAACAATCATGATTGATTATTGATTTGGACGTTATAAAAATGTGACTGTGTAATTAAGGTAAATGTAAGAGAAACTAAGCTCAACTGTAACATATGCTTGATCTTGCACAGAATGTACTAGACAACTTAAATTTTGTGCTCAAATTAAGATCTAAATTTATACTTATTTAATACCTCCCAACACATTCATGAATATTTTATAATTATGTATTTTACAGATAGGAAAGCTTGACAATATGGCAACGTCACAAATACATAATGGGTTTCCATGGAGGCAAGGCAGATCATCAGTGATGCTTGTGCCATTTACCTTCAAACACTTCTGGTGCCATCCAAGCAGCACTTCCTTTGTTATTGGTCATGTGTGTCTGAATATCACAGGCTGTACCAAAATCACAGATTTTTAAAACTGTACCCCCTGCAACAAGCAGTAAGCTGTTTAAAAAAAAAGGAGAAGAAAAAAAAAACTTTAAGAGCATTATCACATTCATAATTAAAGATATACAAAGGAATAGAAACACTTGAGCAGAATGTTACTATGCAATTTCTGTGACACTTTTACCAGATTCTAAGGTTTCTGTCTCCTGCTACAAATCCCTAAACTTTTCCTAAATGTATTTACCTTATTTGTTTTTGTTTTTTGGGTCACATCTAGCAGTACTTAGTTCTTACTCCTGACTCTTCACTAAGGATCACTCTGGGATCATCTCCCGTTGGTGCTCAGGGGACCAGATGGAATGTGGAAATCTAATCCAGGTCAGTCACTGCAAGGCAAGAGTTTTACACACTGTACTATCTCTCCAAACTCTCATAAATGTTTTTATCTTTTTGGACTAAACAAACACTGGTTAATAAAATCTCTACAGATTGACATTATGGTGTCTTGAGAGTGGATAGACAACAAATAATCAAATACCTTCCCAAATTATGTGCCCCTGCATTTAATCTACCAATCAAGGTTTGACAAAATGAATGCAAAAACCTAGTCATTAAATCTAGACCACAGAATTGAGAACACTGATCTAGAAACTTAAATCACAAATGACAATGGAAAAATAATAGAACAAATTTAGGTGAATCACCTCTACTAATATTAAATATCAATTAAAAATTGTTTTAGTTCTATGTGCATGAATATGCATATATATCCTAGATTGTAAAATACTCCATACTGTGGCTTCAAGATTTACAAATCTGCTTTGGTCTTACTGACCTTGTAGTAAACCAAAATAAGACTCTTTAGCCTAGTACATGAACTAGTCAATGCCTTATTTGCTCTCCCTTCTGGCTTAGGAGATTGCATTATTTCTCAGCTTTCTGAAGAATTACATGTGGCTATATCACTGCCTGACCATGGCATATGGGTGGGAGCCAATCCTAAACCCGGCCCATAACAATCTCCCATATGACATTCCTTTTCCTATTCCCATATATGTATCCAAATACTGAAGATATATTCTGGGGAGCTGCTTCTACTGGCTGCTGGCTCCTTGGGAGAAAAGGATACTGGTGCCTGACACTCACCAGTATCCTCTGAATTATGAATCAATTTGTTCCTGAGTTCTTAGGAGTTTGTTTGTTGCAGTTCTTAGGAGTCTGTTCTGATTTGTTCTGATAACTCTGTGTTAGTAAGAGGTGAAAAGGTCTCAATCTGGGAGCAGAAATAAGGCATATGAGTGAGAACATTGATTACAAGAGTGCATCAGATTAGACAGGAAAGTGAGAAGTTCTAACCAGGAGGAATGCTTCAATGTTTTAAACTAGTACTAAGAAAATGGAATACTTAAATCTATACTGGGACTGATTTCCTAAGAGCAAAACTCTTATGTGAGGACTGATGTGGTGTATGGAGGGAGGCATATGGGGAATTTAAAAAAAAAAAAAAACTGCCACAAGTGGGAAAAAGGGGAAAAACTGAGAGAAAAGGGAAAATACATACCACGCTTTTCCTCTGTTGACTGTCCATAAGAACAAACCCCTATCCTAAAGTTTCTGTCACTTAAAGTACTTATTTAGGGAATTTGGATTCTTTCAAAGTCCCAGAATTCTCAATATGGAAAAATCTAGAATAGTTTCAATTCCTACCAAGATGCCAGAAATGCCTTTCGCCTTGCTCTGAAGGAGCAAATAATAACCACTCTGTAAATTCCTGTAGAATGTCTACTATGTGTAGATATGTTAGCTGTGAAGAACATTGCAGGGAACAAGACCGATTTGTCTCTGCTCTGATGGAATGGTCTAGGAGTAGCAATACATATAATGCAGTTCAAAATAAGATTATAAGATAACAGTGACCAGAAGTCAATCTAAAAAATTATTAAAAATAAAATTAAGATTATATAAAAAAATCCTACTAATGAGAACACTTTAAAATGCAAGGTTAGATAACTGACTGAAAAAATGAAGGTTGAAACAAAAACCAACTCCTGGGACCAGAGATGAAAATGAACAGTAGAGTTCCTGCCTTGTATATATGAGGGCTGGGCTTAGTAGCTAGTACCACAAAAGTTAAAAATATAAATAAAAATCAAGAGCCAACTATTTCGTACCAAAATGAAACATCTGCCCCTCACCTCCCCGCCCCACCAACCCTACCATGCTTGACCCAAGCCAAAAGGGAAATGCATTTGCAACTTTCAGCTTAAATGGAAATGGGGTGTAGGGGAGGGAATGAAGACAGTGCAAGAAAGAGGGAGAGTGAATGAATGAGCGAGAGAGAAGAGAGGTGGGAATCAAATTAATATTTAGGACTCACTTTGGTGGCTTCAGGTCCCTGTGAATTAGAGCTTTGGGTTGCATGCTGTGAAGATAAGCCACTCCTTGGGAACACTGTAAACACCAACTCATTGCATGGGCAGCAGTGTAGTATGGCAATGGTTCAGCACCATGCAGCACTGCAAAAGAAAGGCACAAACTAAAAAGAACTTTATTGCTTATAACAAAAGGAGACACAAGGTGACTGCAACATAATCAGAGAACATGACTGGGCTCATGTCTACACATATGCTTTATCAATGTGCTCTGTATTCTTTTCTAAATACAAAGATCTAAAAGTCTCAAGTGGATAATTGCTTCATATTTAACATTTAATAGTAGGCCTTAAATGTTATACACATACTTAAGTTAAATTTATGTAGATTACAGCACCTTTTCAGATTGATAATTTTTCATATAATGTAAGTTACAAAGGAGATGGTACAATATCAGGAGCAAGAGCAACAGTACAAAAGGAAACATAGTCATGTGCATCAAGATGCTTTTAATTATACTTTCTGCAATAGCTAAAAACTTTGGAAATAGATCAATCAAATAAAGCATGGGTATTAGATATCCACTAACAATTAGGAGCAGCAATAAAAATTGTAAATAAAATTGGTGCAAAAGAACACATTTGCATGTAGGGCTGGTGTTTGTTAGGGAGTTAGCTTTGTTCTTTGTTCTATAAAGATTAAATGATAGATTTCTTTCATTATTACAAAAATGTTTAAAGTTTTACAGTTTTCATCATTTTATTTTCTGAAAAAAAATTAAGGAAGTGAATTATAGATATGGTTAGTTTTGAGGTGAGAAGGCTCAGCTAAAAATTAGAATTTTGAAGAGGTTTAAGAATCTATTTGAAAAGCAAGTTTACTTAAATGCATTTAATATTATGAGAAGCTTCATCAATTTAAAAGGCTGATATACTTAGATTTCTAAGTTTCACATCCTAATGCAGCATTCTTATCTTTTCACTTTTGATCTTTAACTTAACAGTTACTCTTTTTAATTAGATCCATTGGGATTCTGAGGGTAAATTGTGGAGAACACTAAGTAACCTAGGGTTTATATTAAAAGCTTTTCAATTATTTCACTCTACTAAAGACAGGTCTAATGACACTCACCATTATACAAAGAGCCCCCTTCTGCGTATTCCATCACAAGGCACACCTAAAGGAAATATATGACAGAATAATTAACCACAGTGATATAGGACCTTAGGGGAGACCAAGTTCAACCTCTGATTTTATAAAATCAACTGCTGATATATTAAAAGCACTAAAAATAATTTTGAACATCTACTATGCGAAATGAAATACAGAGGAAAAGGACATCTCTTGATCTCTAACCTGTTTGTTGGGAGTTCACTAAGAAAATTCTCTTAGAGAATATGACTTCTCTCACAGAGTAAAGGCACAGAAAAACCAAGATCCACATGTTTTGGGGACTTTCTTTTACAGGCTCAAGAGTAGGCATAATCACATGATATTAAATACCTCAAAAGAAGTGCCAAAGAGATAATATAGTGTTGTGTCAAGTGCTTGCCTTGCATGCTACTAGGTGTGGTCCAAACATCCACATACAAAAAAAGAAAAAAAAAAGAAAGAAAGCCTATTAAGTCCTTTATATAGTATTGCTAGACGATCCATACCTCAAATATTATGTAAACTTTATGCAAAGTACTACAGTTTTTGTTCAGCAATACATATTAAATAACAGATTAAGACAGCGTCACAAACCATAAACCTGTTATGTCATTTCTTACTGACAGATGACAATGAAAAAAATCAACTAACTTACTGGATTCAAGCAGGCTCCATATAGCTTTACAATATTAGGATGGTTCACACGGGATAATTGCCGGAGCTGTAACAAATGAAGATTTCTTTGAAAAAGAGCTAACTTTCAAGAAACTTTTCACAGTACATTAAAACCTTTTGGTTATACCAAGCATTAGTTTGATATTCAACAATTTACTATCAGATAGGTTCATTTGTCTTAAGCCCTAGCCAAAATAGCAACTTGACTTCCAGTTCTCATAGTTTAGTTGGGTGACAGACACGTCAACAAATAAATAAAACAATGGGCAGAGCCTAGAACAGGATTTATGAACAACACACAATACAGAGAAGAAATTAACTTTGCCAGCCAAGTTCGGACTGTACCAGGGGTGAACTAAGCTGTTGTCATGCCCAAAGAAGCCATGTCATTGTTGCCATCATCATCTGCATAGCGATCGTTTAATCTACTTATTCAATGTCAGGTCCTGGAACTTAGAAGATATGTGCGGCAGCCAGGGTCTGAATTGTAGCCTGTCTGATTTAATGTTACACACTTCCTATGCACTTGTACTCTCTTCCCTACTCCCTACTTACATCTCTTGAATTTAGTAAGTCTGACCAAAGTCACTGTTCTAAAAAGAATAGAAGAATTCCTCTCTTAAATGGTTCCTCCACTTCCAACTTCAATTGTGCTTCATCTAATGATTCATACTGAGTTCTGTGAGGGAGCTGGGCTTTCTCTTACACAACATCTTAAATATCTATTAAGGTACCCCCAACCCCTGCCCCAAAATGCTCTTTGCTTTCTTTCTGCTCAACCCACTCTATTCTTTTCTGCCCTCTGCCCCCAGCTCCTTCCTCACTTTTTTCTATTACTTAAGCTGTATTGCCGGCTCATATTATTTACTGCTACCAGAAAGCTTTCTCTTTCTGCACTCAACATTTGAAATCTTGCTCTTAACAGAAGGATATTGCTATTATACTCATGTATTACATATATTTATATTTCATCTTATTATAACTTTTGTCAAAAAAACTTCAGGGAGTATATTACTGAAGTATTCTTCCTGCTCCCTCCCCAAACCTCACTAATAAGAGTTGGGGAATTTTTTGCAAGGCATAAATTAGAAAGGATGAAGAGAATATGAAATGAGAAAACAGTATATTAAAAGAAAGCAAAAATCTGACACAACAGATTGAAAAAAGCCAATTCCTAAACTGGAAATGACAAAAATGGAAAAGCAACCTGGTTTATCTTACAGAAGCTCCAGAAGACTGGGAAGTAGTGGTAGAACCTATGCAAGAAAGCTAAAAAAGAGTGAGCATGGGTTAAAGTTAGGATTTTAAAAGATCCCTTCCCTGATTTCAAACAGTTCAGTAACTATCTCTTTTTCATCCCCCAAATTAGAGACTGACTCTATAAAGAAGGTAAACAGTCTCAGGATTGGGGAATGCCAGATACAATTAAGGGATGAGATCAAAGTAGTTCTCTCTGGGAAACAAAAATTTGATAGGAGGCTCTTTAAATTACATATATGGATAAACTTGATTTTTTTTTCCTCACTCATCTTTTGAAAGCGCTTTTATTCCTAACATTTAACACATATTTTTAAATTTTTTTGAAACTATAACATAATATGACTACATTGAAATTATATACAAAAATCTTGAGTAAGCAAGACGAAGTTCAGATTACTAAGGTGTGTATGTATATGTTTATATATATGTATACATATATACTACTAGTTCTCTTTCTTCATATGACATTAAGACATTACTCAGAACTTCTAAATCCATCCACCTAATCACAAATCTACATATCACAATTAAACTATTTTTCTATGTTAATATATTTTAAGATATCATGATATATATATTGAAATTATGATTAAATAAAGTCAGATATAAATTCAGAACATTTAAGAGTTTTCTTACTCATTGATCAGTGAGGTTGATATGTGACTCAAATTTTCTTATTTAATGAAATACTGTGACCTAATATATAAGCCAGCACAAAAGTATTTAAAATAAACCTAAAAATACAATAATTTGGTAATAACTGAATTCTTCACTAAATGAACGAAAAAACAAGTGAAGAAACTCAATATAAAAGAGAAAAGCTTAAATAATTTTTCTTTAAAATAACCATGTTTAGTGCTTGAAAATGTGGCTTTGTGGCTGAGTATCTGCCCTCTATATGTGATTCCCAGCACCACTTCATACTGTCAAGTAACTCCTGGATCACCTGAGAGCCAGAGTACCATGTGATCAAGTATGCAGGCAGTGCTCCACTACAGCTACAATAACGAAAACAGGGGAAATAAGAAAACAACAAAGTCTTCATTTAGACAACTGTTTTAAAAGTCAGAAACCAAAGTATAAAATCCTCCCTCGTAATTTTAGATACTATAAGAGAATACCATTTCTTTTCTATTTTAAACTTTAAATTCTATGCCCTGAAATAGATCTGAATTACTATGAATGAGAGTACATTTTAATTCAAAAATGAATTCCTGTATGTAGTTAAGTCTCATCAATCCTAATTTTTCATAAGAATTAAGAGCATAAATGAAAACTGTTCTTCTGTCATTAAATTTGGTTTAAAAAGATTGTTGGTGTTCAGGTATATAAAGAATGACATTCAGAAACCCCACTTACCCCCAACTCACAGAACACCTGAAATGAGAAACGAAATCACAACTTACCTCTACAATGAAAGCTTTCCTCTCAGATTCACTTTCTATCTGCTTAATTGCAACATCTTTTGCTCGCCACTTAGCTTTGCAAACAACTCCAAAGGCTCCTCTTCCAACAACCTATGTAAAAGCAGAAAAAAAAAATCAGAAAACAAATAGATCCAGCCGTACATACAGCAATTAGTCAATATGAAAGACTTACAAAGAAATCACTATTTGGATTTTCACTTGCCCCTGAGAAGTATGTATTTTCATAAACGGAGATGAAAACTAGGCTGGAGATATAAAAGAGCTGTAAGGGACTTGCTTTGTGGCCTCTGGCCAACCTGGATTTCATCCCTGGCACACAGAGGGTCCCCACAGCCCCTCCAGCAGAGATCACTAAGCAGCTAGGTGCTGCCCAAAGCAGAAATAGTACAGATATAGTAAAGTATTCTTCTCTTTCTTACAAAATGTATGGTTTTTGGGACAGAGTGATAGTAGAGCGGGTAGAATGCTTATCCTACACACAGCTGTTTCAGGTTTGATCCCCAGCATCCCGTATATTCCCCTGAATTCACAGGACTGATCATGAGCACAAGAGCCAGGAGTTAATTCTAGCACCACCAGATGTGACCCAACAACAACAACAAAAAATAGGTGGTTTAGACACTTTCAATTTTCTGAAATAAAACCAAAAACAAAATCAAGAATTCTGGAAACAGAAAGTAAAAACAAGCAAGATAGGGGACTGGAGAGATAGCACAGTGGGTAGGGCGTTTGCCTTGCACGCGGCCGACCAGGGTTCGATTCCCAGCATCCCATATGGTCCCCTGAGCACCGCTAGGAGTAATTCCTGAGTGCAGAGCCAGGAGTAACCCCTGTGCATTGCCGGGTGTGACCCATAAAGCAAAAAAAAAAAAAAAAACAACCAAGCACGATAAATGAAGGTTTGGAAAAACAAAAAGCAGCAATAGCTAATGAATATATTAAGCTATCTTAGTTATAAAATTAAAAATAGCTTTATGAATGGAGATGTTTCCAAACTTATTTGGCCTTGCTCCCTGCTCAGTGCTCCCCGGGAAACTTACCTTCCTTAAGCAAACAAATACAAAGTACCCACTAACGTAATACTACCTTAAGTTATTATGGCCTCTGTGGGTCATTCCAGTAACTTGGATAGGGCAGAATGGAAGGGGTATGCAGAGTATTGTCTCTTTAAGGAAACACTGGAATCAAAGTATACCTCAGATATAATGCAGGTTCAGTTTCAGAATGTACTTATAAATTGGGTAACTCAATAAAATGAGCCATACAGGGGCTAGACAGATAATACAGGACATAAGGCTTGCATGCAGCCAGCCCTGGTTTAAATCCCAGAACTTCATAGAGCACCTGGAGCACCACTCAGGAGTCACTCCTGAGCACAGAGCCAGAAACAGTCACCGAGTACCACAAGATGTGGCCCCCATCTTTTGCCCTCCCCCAAATGAAGTCATGACTTTTTTTGGTTTCTCACTACATATAAGTGTTTACCCATGCTTCAGAACTACTCAGAAGGGAGATCACTAGAGGGACAAAGGCTAAGATAGTCAACGAACTGTGGTGGAGAGCAAGTGGTTCCTGGGCAGGGGTGGAGAGGAGGGTTTAGTATGGTAACAAAGTTGGAAGAATTGTAAAACTGTTTCCCCAAAGCATAGCTTACATTTACAATATGGTAAACTCTATTAAATGAGCTACAGTATTATCTAGAAAGCAATTAAATACCATAATTTGAAAAGTAGTTTACTGCTAATTAGCAAAAAACAAAGAGAGCACATGCCTTTGTTAGAAAACTGGCTTGGGTAATAGTTCTTTGTTATATTTGTTAAGAGCAATAAAAAGCAGCACAATTAAACAGGGTTTTTTTTTCTATAATTCATCAGGGATAGAAAATAGAAAGGATAAAAATATAGATGAGAAAATACTGGTTACTGTGAAATCAATGAAGTGTGATATTAGTTAAACAAGGGAATTATAACTTATCTAACAATAATAGATGTTACAGAATAGATGAACCTCAAAAACACTGTGCTAAGTAAAAGAAGTCAGACACAGAGGATGTGTGTTTTCAAAAGTCCAGCGGTGCTCTATCTCTCCCGCCGCCTACATTCGGTAGTCTCACATCGCTCCCCTCACCCCGGGGAGGTTGATGGTGAGGTAGGCGAAGGGAGGAATGAGGGCCAAGCTGGTCGGTATCAATTGTAGTTTATTCCAATCTTCACTCCCTTCTGTTTCTCTCTCTCAAGCCTGAGTCCCTCTCACTTCTGACTCTGCCCTCTGGAGCCACAGCTCGAGCCCGAGCCCGAGCCCGAGCCCGAGCCCGAGCCTGAGCCTGAGCCCGAGCCTCAGCCTCCACCTCAGATCCTACAGTCTTAGTTTATATAGCAACCACGTAGGGTGGTGAAAAAAAGGTGGGATCAACAAAGAGAGGTAAAACCACTCAAGGAGATTAACTCAAGGATAAAATCTCATCTAAAGAGATTATTCCAGATTACTAGGAGATCACTTCAAGGGTAGGATCCTAACAAAGGTGTGTTCTTTCCTCAGCTAGTAATCTACTTAAATAGTTGTAGTAAATCTAACTTCCAATATTTCCAGCAATGTCATTCTGTATAAGCACATTAAGAGATTATAAACTTATAGTTTCATTCTTCCTGAGGACATTTCACTAAATATTCTGCATCCTCAGGCCAGGTTAGTCTTCCTAGCCCCAGTAGGGTCCTAGTCTCGTCATTACTTACTTTTGGATCATGACATCATTTGTCCACGATCATGCCCTCAACATAGAGTTGAGTATTGTGGCGCGTTGGCCTGGCCCATTTTGATGCCAGGGTAGCTCACAACTTGCCCTGGGTCCATTCAGTCCCTCGTTGGGACCCTGCTTTGGGGGTGCTAGAAACTAAGGGCAACTGAGTCAAGAAAGCAGATGCCCAGGAGTAAATATTATTCGGAGTCAATCAACTCCCAACTTACAAAGCATAATATTAACTGTCTTCCTGTGTCCATACAGAAAGGACATTGCTTTAAGGTAAACTATGCAAAAGACATAATTTACAATACAAGTTCAGTGTCCTTAGAAGGATCTGATCTTACAAGTTAACAGAATCTGATCAGGGAGAAAAGGTGATTAACTGGCTGGGGAGGAGAGCACAGAGAAGAGTTTACAGATAAACAGAGGAATAGGAGTGACTCTGGGAGCACTGTGATGGGTGTAACCGATAAGTCCCAGCTCCCTGTGGCAATGTTATCCTACAAGAGACAACATATTATATGATTCATTTATATTAGTATGTCCAGGCTGGAGCGATAGCACAGCAGGTAGAGCGATTGCCTTGCATGTGGCCGACGGGGCCGACCCACGTTCAATTGCTCTGCCTTTGATTCTTCCACCCCTCTCGGAGAGCCTGGTAAGCTACCCAAGAGTATCTCGCCCACATGGCAAAGCCTGGCAAGCTACCCATGACGTATTTGATATGCCAAACACAGAAACTAGTCTCACAATGTTACTGGGCCCACTGGAGCAAATCGATGAACAATGGGATAACAGTGACAGTGATATTAATATGTCCAGAAAATGCAAATATGTACCGAGAAGATTGATCACTGGTTGCCTCAGGCTGAAAGTGGAAACTGGAGTTGACTGTAAATATTAATGATGAAAGAAGTGATGAACATGATTAAAAACTGGCTTATAGTGACAGATGCACAGTTGGGTAAGGGTGAATTTTATGTGTAAAATAGATCTTATTTTGTCAAGTTATTCAAAAGTAAAAGATTGACCATGTACTGTTATTGCTGAAGCTAACTAATGAGTACCAAGAGTTTCACTGCTCTCACAATAGTGTTTTTATGTCTGAAACTTGCAATACATTAAAAAAAAAAAACGATTAATGTTTAATACTTTTAAAAACAGTAAACAGGGACTGGAGCAATAGCATAGCAGGGAGGGTCTGCATGCAGCAGACCCAGGTTCGATTCCCAGCATCCCATATGGTCCCCCAAGCACCACCAGGAGTAATTCCTGAGTTCATGAGCCAGGAGTAACCCTGTGTATCACCGGGTGTGACGCAAAAAGCAAAAAAAAAAAAAAAAAAAACAAAAACCAGTAACCACTAGGGCTGAAGCAGCAGTACAGTGGGTAGGGTACTTGCTTTGAACAGGCCACCCTGGGTTATACCCCTTGCCAAGAGTGATGTCTCAGCAGAGAGTCAAGAGTAAGCTACAAACACTACCAGGTATGCCTCCCCAGCAGACAAAATTGAAACAACAGGCCCTAAAACAAATTTCAACTTTATGGCAACTTTAGGCTAAGTATGGATGGACAGTAGCCTATCATTATGATATTACTATGATATATTACTATGACATAACAAAGTATTTTATTTGTAACCATGTATTTACAAACACATAAAAGCAACTGGCACTTAGGCTGGTGTTCCTGTTTCACTTTCCCATCTTTAAGAAAATCCATACAGAAATTCCAAACATCTGTCTTGTGGATTATACACTGCCACAAAAAATTATTAGGTGCATATGACTAATTGTGAAGCAAAAGTGCCACCTAGTGATAAGATGATGCTTGACTCTGAGCTGTTGTTTTTATAATTTTTAATTTTTTAATGGATCACTGTGAGATACAGTTACAGACTAACAAACTTTCGTGCTCACGTCTCAGTCATACAATGATCGAATACCCATTCCTTCAGCAGCGCCCATTCTCCACCACCAGTGTTCCCAGTATTCCTCCCCCACCCCCTCCCTCCACCTCTGTGGCAGGTGGATTCCCTTTATACTCACTCTCTCCTTTAGGGTGTTGTGGTCTACAATGCAGGTATTAAGTGGTGATCATGTTCAGTCTATAGTCTACTCTCAGTACACATCTCCCAACCTGTGACTCTTGAGTTTTTTACTTAAAAACATGGGAAACAAAATAATGGGCAAATGAGGATATAAAAAACTTCCCTTTTGCTTGAGAAAGTAAGTTCTGTTGAACATTCTGAAATATGAAACAGGTGTATTCTAATAAGATGGGAGTTTATGACCTTAAAACTTCCACACCCAATGAGGGCTGTTAGGCATTTTATATGTATGATAAAGCA